ATCCCATAGTCCAGTTCTCAAAGTCTTTGGTATGATGCTTAGGAGTAGATCTATACTGGTGCATCAGTAGGGTAATCCCAAGAGTTTATAAACAACTTTATGAGTTTCAAGCTCTCCCTTTCTGTGATTTCCCTGGTACTTCCCTAGTGTCTCCCATTTTCAGTATTCTAGTCAGAAACCAGAGCTTCAGCTTCCTCACTCAGCTGTGTATACCTTATAACTACTATTTTTCTGGTTTTATTTGCTTTTTGTTTTGTTTCCTCAGCCTGGAAAAGCATCTTACTCTACTCTTTTTGGTTAATTACTATTAATTTTTCAGGTCTTAGCTTAATGTCATTTCCTCCTAAAAACTTTCTCTTATTCTCATATCAATTATATTCCTCCTTTTTTCTCATAGGACACATCATAATTTACAATTACATATGCATTTGTTTGTTTATTTATTTATTTATTTATTTGAGACAGAGTCTTGCTTTGTTGTCCAGGCTAGAGTGAGTGCCGTGGCGTCAGCCTAGCTCACAGCAACCTCAAACTCCTGGGCTTGAGCGATCCTTCTGCCTCAGCCTCCCGAGTAGTTGGGACTACAGGCATGTGCCACCATGCCCGGCTAATTTTTTTTTATATATATATATATCAGTTGGCCAATTAATTTCTTTCTATTTATAGTAGAGACGGGGTCTCGCTCTTGCTCAGGCTGGTTTTGAACTCCTGACCTTGAGCAATCCGCCCGCCTCAGCCTCCCAAGAGCTAGGATTACAGGCGTGAGCCACCACGCCCGGCCTTATTTATTGATTTAATATATATCTCCTCTACTAGACAGGGAATGAGATTGTATCTGTCTTATTCACCATAATGCAATGATTATAGTATCTAAAACAGTGCATGGCACACAACAGATACTCAATAAATATTCATTTAATGCATAATTGTATTCTTCCTTCCATCCATGCAACCATCCATTCATGCCCTGTTTCATCCAAAAAAAAAAAAAGGGGCCAGGCATGGTCCCTTTTTTTCTTGTGTGAGTCTATGAAGAAGAGGCAAAAAAAAGGCATTAATCATAATTTATAGACAAGTAAACAGATTCAAAGAGATAAAATAATTTGTCCAAGTTCACAATGAGTTAGTAATAGAGGTGATGAAGAAGGCTTGAATGATAGTTTAGATGAATACAAAATTTTAAGTGGGCAATAATTTTAACACTGATCAATTTCTGGTGTCTACTGTTGCTGTTGAGAAATCTGTAGTCTTTGAAATGTCATTCAAATTTCTCTTTCTTTGATTTTCAAAAAATTTTAGAGACTTTTATGATTAACCTTTGTTTTAGGTGTTCTGCAGTTTTACCATTAAGGGTTTAGTTGTAGATTTATGTTTGCTTTTCTGCTCAGATCTCAACCTGCTTCCTGAATCTGTAGATTCATGTACATCAATTCTGGAAAATTTTTAATCATAAGGTATTTGATTATTATATTCTCCCTATTCTCTTTATACCCAAATAAATTGAATGCTTACCTCACGATACATAAAAGTGACTATCAGATGGAGTAAGGGCCTAAATAAGAAAAAGCAAAATATTAAAACTCTTAGGAGAAAACATATAAGTATAAAGCTATGGCGTTGGGGGGGTAAGAAAGGATATCTCAAGTGAAATACAAAAAGCTTAAACTGTAAAGGAAAAAAGTGACAAATGATACTACATTAAAATTCCAAACCACTATGAAAAACAAAACATAATAAAAAGTGAAAAGAATCACCATAAACTGGCAAAAAAGATTTTTACAAATAACTTATGAAAGTTCGATGTTTTGATTAGAGAAAGAATGTCTGCAAAATCAATATGAAAAAAGAAAACAACCCAAGAGAAAAAAAATGGACAAAGGATTCAAATAAGCCACTCATGAAGAGGGAAATTCAATGGCCAACACACTATGCACTGCTGCTCAACATCACCAGTAAACAAGAAAATGCAAACAAGAAAGCCATGACAGACTATTTCAGACTTATTAGAACGGTAAAAATTAAAATTCTGAAAACTCCTGCATGGCTTATATGAGTATATGGAAAAAACGAGTGTTTACACACTGCCAGAAGGGAAATTTGGTACAACCACTTTGGAGTTAAATTTGGAACTTACCTATTAAATTTGAAGATGTTCATACTCTACGACCCAGAAAATCTACTCAGAGACCTAAAGAGAAACTTAGAGAAACTCCAACATAGGTGTACAATGATATATGAATAAGGATGTGGATCTTCACCGGGCATGGTGGCTCACACCTATAATCCTAGCACTCTGGGGGGCCGAGGCAGGAGGATTGCTCAAGGTCAGGAGTTCGAAACCAGCCTGAGCAAGGGCGAGACCCTGTCTCTACTAAAAATAGAAAGAAATTAATTGGCCAACTAGAATATATAGAAAAAATTAGCTGGGCATGGTGGCGCATGCCTTTACTCCCAGCTAGCTGAGGCAGAAGGATTGCTTGAGCCCAGGACTTTGAGGTTGCTGTGAACTAGGCTGACACCACAGCACTCTAGCCAGGACAACAGAGTGAGACTCTGTCTCAAAAAAAAAAAAAAAAAAAAAAAAGAATGTGGAGCACAATACAAAATGCCACAAAAGTGAATACAACCTCACTGTCAATAAATAGAAGAATGAAAAAATAAATAAATTGTATTACAGGCATATAATTCAGAGTATTCAAAAATAATACACTGTAACCAAAACTAATAAGGCAGATATATGTGTATCAGCATAATTAAATCCCAAAAGCATGATATTGGATTTTAAAAAGGCGCATTGTTGAATGATATGTAGAAGATACAGCTTTCAATACAATACATATATTTTGTGGCCACGCTATATAGATATGCATTATAATAATAAACAAACCCATGAGAATGAAGAACAGCAAAGTCAAGATAGTGGTTACTGCTGAGGAATGAGAGTGTATGACACACTGAGGGTGAAAGTATTCCCAATTCTTCTCTTCATCCTGTGTCCATCCTCTTTTCAATGTGACTTCTGTAGTATTTCTCATCAAAATGTGGAGTCTATTACCCCACCTCTTGAATTGACGATGGCTTTGTGACTTGCTTTGATCAACAAAATGTGGTGGAAGTGATGGTGTGTCAATTCTTTCTTTTTCAACCCTACTACCACTACATGAACAAGTCTGGGCTAGCCTCCTAGAGCATGAGACTCAGCGAAGGAAAACCTAGTTGTGTCATCTGAGGTCCACCTATTCTAGCCTACAGTCAGCCAACCCCCAGGCGTGGGGGAGAGCTTAGCCAGGATCAATAGGTGCCTGCTTGACCCACAGCTTACTGAAGATTCATAAACGGCCCAGGTGAGGCCAGAAGAACTGCTGAGGTGGCCTGTGGAATCATGAAGAGGAAATGCTTATTGTTTCCAGCCACTAAGTGTTAGAATAGCTTGTTACTCATATATAGCTAATATAAGGAGGGGACTAGAGCTAAGGAAGGGCAAAAGAGGAGTGGTTCAGCCTGTATCTGTGATATTTTATGTATTTCAAAATAGAGAGCCCTAAAGCAAGTATGGCAAAATGTTAAGCTTTAACAGATATAGGTAGTAGGCACATGGGCATTTGTTATATAATTCTTATAAGTTTACTGTATATTTGAAGTATGTCACAATAAAAGAAAATTCAGATAGAAAAGTCAATGTGCTATACTAGCCAAGATAGCCAAAATGACTTTTACAAAGAACAGAGAAAAGTACTATCCTATTACCCGCCCCCTCTCACCACCACCACACAAAGCAGACTAAGTAGACTAGTGATTTCTGAGTTCTAATCCTCTACTATCACCCCAGGACATCTTATCTATACCTTCCTAGCATTTAATCCTCTTGCCCCAGTTGGTCATCTGTAAGACAGGAACATCTGATCAGCTCACCGAAAGAGAGTCACACAAGACGAGCCAGGGAAGCATAACAAGGGCACTTCTTCATTTTAACTGCTATGTGGGCAGGAGATTTTAAATTCCTTAACTACTTCATACTATTGTTATGTCTGAAATCTAGGTTCACCTGATAAAAACATGACAGTCCTTCCTGCTCCACTCAAATATACGGTTAGTCACCTACCCTGTGACTTCCTCCTGACATTCTAACCTGCCCTATCCTTTGTATCTGAAGCTGTTGCTACTTCTGGCACAGGTGGCATTCTGTCCGTCTGCCAGGATTTGTGCTTGACCTGTTGAGAGTGACAAGGGCTCTCAGAGGATACCCATCAATGCCAGAGAAAGGCAGAGCTAAGCAGTCTGCTCTTAAGGGGCTCAACATCTCGCTTTGCCCAATGCATTGCCAACGTTTCTATTTGAACTTTCACAGCACTCTGTATGCTTTATTCTGCACTGACTGTATACCCTTAATATATGCTGGCTGGTACTGTGAGTTACTGTGTGTTCTCTTAACAACTCAATTAGGCTATAAGCTCCTTGAGGACACGGTGTTTTAAGTGACTTACTATCCCTACTATCTAGTGAAAGGAAGGAAGGGAAGAAGGAGAAAGGTCAGACAGGAAGGAAGAAAGGAAGGAAAGGGAGACAGGAAGGAATGAAGGAAGGGAGGATAATAGCAGCAAATATTTATAGAATGACTATATGCCAGGTAGTGTGTACTTTCTTATGTAATCCCTCCAACCACTCAGTGAGGTAGATACTATTATTAATTTTTTCCTAGCTTACAGATGAGGAAACATGCTTAGGAGGGTTAGGTAATATGCCCAATGTAACAAGCCACAGCAAATAAATGGGAGAGCCAGCATTGGCACCAGATTTGTTTAACCCTAGAGACTTATGCTCCTGATCACTAATGGTATACTGTTTCTTAGAGTAGAGAATTTTGAGCACAAATGAGCTGACAACAGGAAACCAGGATTCATTATAAAGAAAGAAAACAGGAGAGAAGGCTAGAAAACAGGGGAGAAAGAAAGAGGGAAGACTCATCAATATATTCTCCTACTACAGATATCATACCTAACCTTTGACAGACAGCACAGTGTCTGCTTAATTCCTAAACGTCTTCATGAAAGATCTGTTTGCTTCTTTGGTAATGTGTTCCAGGTTTCATTCTCCATAGATATCCACAGATAGCTGCTACGCTCTCTTGCCTGTGAGAGAAGACGTGTGCAGTTGATTCTCATTATTCACAGTCGTTATGTTCTATAAAGTTGCTGTGAAGACCAACTTAGTGAATACTAAACCATTGCTCCTAGGGGAAATGCACGGTTAGATTCCTGCCAGTCGCTGGCCACATTTTCATCAGCCAATCAATACATGGCCTTGTTTTATGTGTGCTTTTGTTTAAAGACACCTTATTTAATATATATCCTCTATTCATTAACATTGAACTCTGCCAAAAGCGCTGTATCACATACCTGGACAAAGCTTATTTAAGACACATTTTCTTCATAAGGCACATGACAACCTTGTTGCACTTAGGAACACTAGATAGCACTTCAGCACTATGTTGAGACCATTTTGAACAACGAAATCACCAACAAAAACACAAAATGCAAAAGACATGGCACTAAATAGACCAAGAAAAGGACACTTATTTTTATTTTGAAAGCTGAAATAAGAAGGCAGAGCATTACCCTGCTCCATCTGAGCTGGGAGTGTGTGTGGGAATGTGTATGTTGGGTGACTCAAATTTTTTGTTGCCCTGTGCATTTCCACAAATTACCCAAAAGTGCTGCCAAAGACCCTGCATTTCATTCCATTGGCCATTACAACATCTACACAATTTGGATGTGATGAAACTATTGATTTTGTAAAATACTGTGTACTTTTGTGAATGCCTTTATTAATTTCAAAATTAAAATAAATTTTAATGAGTAGGTAAATTCACAAATATGCAGTCTTCAATTAATGAGGATTGACTATATACGGCATGAAGTCCAGCCAAGTCTTAGATTTGAATATATGAAAGATATGGGTATATCAGGAACTATTTTCCTATGGGAAAATAGGAAAAAGAACAGCAAGAGAGATCTAAAGTGTACCATAACAATTTCAGCTGTGTATATTTAACTAGGACATCACAAGCATGTATTGGTCTTGCAGGGAACCTCAGGAGGTTACTTCTCCCTTCCCCTGCTTTAGTTGGGACTTTGTTTTAGTGATTAGAGATTGTCAGCTTTACAGATCAAAGAAGCTTGCCAAGGTTTCTGACTTTACAAGTTCTATTGCCCATGTATAACCTTCTAGAGGCTGAATTTTGCTTAGCACTGTGCATTTGTGGGAGAAACTCAGTAAATACTTGCTGTCTATTGAACAATTCTCAGGGTCAACCTGCTAGTTATGTTGTCCTTATCTGGCCTTCCTTTGTAATATACTCTTGGATAAATATTTCTGTCTAAAGTTGTGGTTCCCAGCTTTGGGTTCCTAGAATTAGTGGTCCTTTAAGACGTCATTGAGCTATTTAAAGAATCCTTCAAAAAATACATTTCACTTGTATGAGAACCCACAGGTTAAATCAAATGCCAAGATTTGTCTTTGTAAATTTGCCTGGAATTACACAATGATAATTCTATGTATTTTATGTGATAATACTATGTATGGGAACTATGCAATGACAATTCTATGTGATAATACTATATCACTTGGTAATCAGAAGCTTATTTCTGGACATACATGTCTTTAACAAAAAACAATTGCTTAAATAATTTCAATTGTTTGCTAGGCAAGTGTCCAGAATATTTCAGAGAAACATAGGAAAGATAATGGAAAGATTCTTGGATTGTTAAAGTATAGAAAATCACTTATTTAAGTGATTCTGAAAGTATGGTACTTTTTGCAAATAGGTGTTATAAAATATTCCTTTTATTGTTTCATATTTATGATTTTTACACTGCCATTAGTTCTTCTAAGCAAAGCTGTCCAGTTTCATCTAAATGGGGAAATTAAGTCACAGAAAAGCAGCCATCTTCACCTAGAAACTGAAAAATAGCCCTGTTGCTACACTCTCTGTGCTTGGTCACTTCTTTCTACACAACAATGTGAATTCTCCCTTGGGGCCTCTAGAACAACATTGTTTTTGTGAATTCATCTTTCCTTTGCTAAATATTTTTTCTCCTTGTGAGAATTAGCCAGGATCCAACTGAAGTGACAAAAATGATGGTGTGTACTGTGCCAATAAAAGATCTGCCAACTCTCAGGCAAGCTAAGTTTCATCCCATTGAAATTCTTTTTCATGTATCTCTTCCATTCTGGTCACACTGTCATGGTGAAGAACAGCTGGTGTCACACTTCCAGATCAATGGTCTTGCTTGGTTTGGTGCTTTGGAGAACACAAATGAGAGAAGAGCAGAGCAATATAGAATGGAGACCTCAGGCTTAGTGCCCCTGCCTGATTTCCAAAGCACACTTTAAGGTCTTGAGGACCATATTGTTGTCTGTCTTCAGAATACTTAACTATTTATACAAATACAAAGCTTCTAACTTTGCAACACATTCCTCACTAAATGTTAATGTTTGTGCTTATCTCCTCATCCCCCCATTCCTCTACTCTTGTGGTCAGCTTCTCTCAACATAGTGGCTATTTGCTACTGCCTCCATTCTATTTCTTTTAATTTTTTAAAATGTTTTTGTTACATAGATACCTTGTATAATCCTTAAGACAGGGCTTTTACTGTGCCTGTCACCAGGATAGTGTTCATTGTACCCAGTAGGTAAGTTTTTATCCTACATCTACCCCCCACCCCCAAACATTCCCTGCTTCTTGGTTTCCTGTGTCCTTTGTAGCACACTTTGTGCCTGGGTGTACCCACTGTTTAGCTCCCACTTATCAGTGAGAACATACGGTGTTTGGTTTTCCATTCCTGAGATACTTCACTTAGGATAATGGTCTCCAGTTCCATTCAAATGGCCAGAAATGACATTTTATTTTTTTTTATGGCTGAGTAGTACTCTATGGTGTTTATGTGTGTGTATATATATATATCACAATTAGTTTATTCACCTGTGAATTGATGAGCACTTAGATTGGTTCCTCATTTTTGCAATTGTGAATTGTGTTACAATAAGCATTCAGGTACAAGTGTCTTTTTGATAAAATGACTTCTTTTCCTTTGGGAAGATACCCAATAGTGGGATTGCTGGATCAAATGGTAGGTCTATATTTATTTCTTTGAGGAATCTCCATACTGTTTTCCATAATACTAATTTGCAGTCCCACCAAAAGTGTACAAGCATTCCTATCTCTCTGCATCCACATGAGCACCTATTTTTTTTTGACTTTTTAAGAATGGCCTTTCTTCTGATAGGGGTAAGGTGGTATATCATCGCAGTTTTAATTTGCATTTTCCTGATGATTAGTGATGCTGAACATTTTTTCATATATTTGTAGGCCATTTATCTTATTTTGGAAAACTTCTGTTCATGTCTTCTGCCCACTTTTCAATGCGGTTGTTTTTTTTCTTGCTGATTTGTTTGAGTTCTTTGTAGATTCTGGATACTAGTCCTTTGTTAGATATACAGTTTGCAAATATTTTCTCCCAATCTGTAGGCTCTCTATTCACTCTGTTATTTACTGTGCTGTGAAGCTTTTTTAATTTAATGAAGTCTCAATTATTTATTTTTGTTGTTTCTGTATTTACCTTCGGGGTCTTAGTCATAAATTCTTTGCCTAGGCCAATGTCTAGAAGAGTTTATACTACATTTTCTTTTAGAATTTTTATGGCTTACATTTAAGTATTTTATCCACCTTGAATTAATTTTTGTGTATGGTGAGATATGGGGACCTGTTTGATTTTTCTGCGTGTGGTTATCCAGTTTTCCCAGCACCATTTATTGAATAGGTCTTCCTTTCCTCAGTATATGTTGTTTGTCAAAGATCAGTTGGTTGTAGCTATATGGTTTTAATTCTGGGTTCTTTATTCTGTTCCATTGGTCAATGTCTCTATTTTTATATCAGCACCAGCTGTTTTGATTACTATAGCTTTGTAGTTTAATTTGAAGTCAAGTAATTGTGATGCTTCCAGATTTGTTCTTTTTGTTTAGGATTGCTTTGGCTATTTGCAGTCTTTTTTGGTTCCAAATGAAGCTTAGGATTATTTTTTCCAGGTGTGTTAAATAAGACATTGGTATTTTGATGGGAATTGCATTGACTCTGTAAATCACTTTGGAGAGTATGGACATTTTAACAATGTTGATCCTTCTAACCCATGAGCAAGGGATGTTTTTCCATTTGTTTGTGTCATCTGTAATTTCTTTCATCAGTGTTTTATAATTCTCCTTGTAGAGCTCTTTCACCTCCTTGGTTAATTCCTAGGTATTTTATTTTCTTTGTAGCTATTACGAATGGTATTGACTCCACTGCCTCCATTCTGTTTCTGTTCCTATCTGAATCTTATGCAGTCATCCCTCAGTCTCAGTGGGGAATTGGTTCCAGACCCCCTACAGATACCCAAATCCATGGATTCTCAAGTATTTTATGTAAAATGGCACAGTATGTGCACATCACCTACATAACCCATACAGTTTAAATCATCTCTAGGTTACTTATAATACATCTATGGATTCTCAAGTATTTTATGTAAAATGGCACAGTATGTGCACATCACCTACATAACCCATACAGTTTAAATCATCTCTAGGTTACTTATAATACTAATACAATGTAATACTATGTAAGCTGGGTTTGCGGGCTTTTTTATAGACAATGTGTCACTATGTTGCTCAGGCTGGTCTTGAACTGGACTCAAGTAATCCTTCTGCCTTGGCCTCCCAAAGTGCTGGGATTAGAGGTGTGAGCCAACGATCCTAGCCAATAGTTGTTATATTATATTTTTAAAATTTGTATTATATTTTATTGTTGTATTGTTATTTTTATTGGTTTTTTTTCCAAATTATTTTCAATCTGCAATTGTTTGAAGCTACAGACACAGAACTCGTAGATGCGGAGTGCCAACAGCACCTAGGATGTTCTTTCTCAGCCTGCTAAGGCACCTTCTCCACATCATTCCTCAAGTGTTGAAATCATTCCCCTTTAAGAAGCCCTCCACTAAGAAAAAGATCATAGTCTCATCCTTCCTTGTTCAAACACAAAACGCCACTTCCTCAACTACTGCATCACTAATATTGCCACCATTTAAATTCATCATACAATTAGTATTTCAAATTATATATTTGTTATCTGCTTGGTGTTTGGTGTGTTTTCCTCAGTGGTAATGTAACATCATAAGCGTGATTTTTCTGATCTGTTTCTGAATATCTTATAATATGGTATCATGTGAAGAAAATGGTTATTCAATAAATTTATCTTGATTTCATAGGCCAAATAGTACCTCTAAATTGCCTTCATGAGAAAGCTACCAGTTTATAAGTAGCTTAATAAAATGGCCTTGAGGTGACAAAGGAAGGTTTGAGCAGCAACATTCACCAAACTTCTGTGAATGAAACTGTGCTCCTAGACCCTGACACCTGGCTGTACCCTTCAAGTTGTTGGCTGTACCCTTAGATTAGTTACAGAATGCTATGGAAAGATTCTCAATGCCTGTTTCTGAATGTCTTTTACTGACCCACTCTGCACGCCTTCAACTTATCCTATCAATGAACTAAAATAGTCTCTGGCACTGATCTACCACACCCCTGGCTTCTGCCTGTCTACCCTGTTTTGCATTATAATCATTCTCAATGACAACATCATTGCCTGGAAGATGATTTCTCCAAGGTATAGGCTATAAAGGCAAAACACCTACCTTCTTAGGGATCATGAGGCTCGCTGATGAGGAATGTGGAAAGTTTTAGAGCCTCATGGACATTCTGCTGGAGTGGGCGTTCTTCTTAGTGTTGTTACTAAAACACAGTTTTTCCTTGAGTAACGTTCTGTTATGGGAAAGCATTTTGAACACCAGTAGAGTTTCTATAACAGTGACTACATTTAGGCATACTAATAGAGTGCTTTTTGTTTCTTATAATCAAGATATATCATCTTATTATGACACCCAAGTCCCTACATTTCATTCCATTGTCCAGTTACAAAAAACCATATAATTTGGATTTGATGAAACTATTGCTTTTTTAAGAGTCTTTGTTTAATGTAGTCACTACTCATAGCAAATAAAGTTATAAATGGGATACATAAGTGATATGCATCTGAGAAAGTACTATCATAAAGAAGATAATGGAAAAGGAGGGGAAACAAAGCAGAGACAGAAATGGGGACTTAGTTATCAGCAAGGACAAGCAAAGCGTAGAAGAATAGTTAAGGAAGCTGAGAATGCAGGAAGAAAAGAGAAACAAAAATGATGCTCATTGTCTGATTGTCACAATGTTGATAAGCACTAAAATACTTCCAGGTGCTGGTTTAGACTAACTTTATCTGAGGCTTGCAAAAAAGAACAGTTTTCCCAGCCTATGAACTGTTATTAATAGTCAAGGTCACAGAGGGAAGATGAGACAGAGGTAAAGAATCTAAAGCCGCCTTTGATTAACTTATACCACCTTAGAAAGAGTAGATTAAAAGCAGGGCTTTGAAACAAGAGAATTTAAAATAAGCACATTTGTTTCTACAAAAAAGATTTTCACAAGAAATTCATACTTATAATATGTATTTCAGTGATTTCAAATTTTGGTTTGCCAAACAAAGTAGAGGAGGATTTTATTTGTATATTTAATTAAGGCTAGCACCTGATATGATTCAAGCCTTCTGGCTGTTTTTTTTTTTGTTTTTTTTGTTTTTTTTTTTGAGACAGAGTCTCGCTTTGTTGCCCAGGCTAGAGTGAGTGCCGTGGCGTCAGCCTAGCTCACAGCAACCTCAAACTCCTGGGCTCGAGTGATCCTTCTGCCTCAGCCTCCCGGGTAGCTGGGACTACAGGCATGTGCCACCATGCCCGGCTAATTTTTTTTTATATATATATCAGTTGGCCAATTAATTTCTTTCTATTTATAGTAGAGACGGGGGTCTCGCTCTTGCTCAGGCTGGTTTTGAACTCCTGACCTTGAGCAATCCGCCCGCCTCGGCCTCCCAAGAGCTAGGATTACAGGCGTGAGCCACAGCGCCCGGCCTGATTCAAGCCTTCTGGAAAAATCAAATGTCTCCATGAAAATATACTGAACAGTTTCCTAAAGCAAGCATCCACATGTGATAAAAAAAAAGTTTTAACTTACTAATATTCACTGGTAGGACATAATAGGAAAAAAAGAGAGATTCTTTCATAAAGAGACTTTAAGAATAAATGTTTAAGTTAGGGGCTAACCGTTAGTCTGTGCACTATATAAATTTCTGGAATGTTTAACAGACATATCACGATTTGATTTGTAGCTTCAGTTGTATGTTCTCTTTCTGGGCATCTTCTGCTTGACAGAATCCCAGCATAGCTCAAGTTCCTGGAGAGTTTAACAATCCTCTTCTGCCAGCATGTCAATCTATAACACTTTAGTGCTTGGATGTCAGAGTGAGTGTGGATGATACTCGGAAGATCTGGGGGAGCATGTTACTAAGTTGATAAAACATTTCTTCAGAAATACTCTGTAAGGGGTAAAAACAAAAGGTGTGTACTTGTTAAATCATCATCTAAAAAAAATTTTAAAGTATTTTAAAATATGGACTTAGTACTAGATATGGAATGCAATATGTGAAAATTATCTTTCAGGACTCATTTAACTGTATCGCTATGGACAAGGGCTGTTTTTCTGGTTCCATCTTCTGAGAACTTATGTTGTTTCTGTGAAATAATAAGTTTGTTTACTAGAAAAACCCCTAGATAACATTAGAGTAACCAGTAATAAAATTCCACTAATTTTGGTAAGATCTTTGTAGAATATAGACTCATTCTCTGTTAATGCCCTTATTTATGAAGCCTTCAGAAAAACAAAGGAAAGATGAGTCAAGTTTCATTTTGGGGTTAAATAAAAGATCTCTTGAGTGGTAGATGCTGACATCTTTGACAAGAGATTAAGTGAAGGGCCTTTATAGCATCTAAACACTTCTCCACTTATAAAACAAGAAGCTGTTAATATTTTATGTTTAGGAGTTTAGGCCTAGCTAAACTCAGATTAGGCCCAGATTTGTGCCTAGCTAAATCTGTGAGATATAATAAAAGAGATTAAATTGGGGTAAGATATATTCAGATAACACACCTGAGGTACCAGAAATTGCACTGTCCTAGAAATTCCTCCATCCCACGAGGCCATTTCCATCATGAAACCTAAGAAAGAACAATAAATTTTGCTGCATTATGAGTTTCAGCCTTCAAACCTTCTAGTCACTTACCGAAATAAACTGATTTTTCATTGTGAAGCTTCATGTCTAGACATTTTAGGTAGCCATTTGCCTGTGAAAGGCTAAGCCTAAAGGACAGATAAACTTCTGCAATCCCTAATTCACCATGCCAGAGAGGTTTAAAATAGTTTTGTCAACATACTCTTACTTATGATTTCTCAAGTCAAATCTAATTTCCATACAATCAAGCTCAAACAGGTTATTAAAACTTAATTAAATATGTGGCTCTATTTTTTCTTATTAGGAGAATAAAAGGCAATAGAGAGCAAGCTAGCATCAGAAAAAAATATAAATAACATCCAAATATCCTTGTATTTCAGAAGGGCTGGGATTTGTTTATTTTGTGACTGGAAAAAGATAAATAAAAAAGCCTGTTATGAAATTTTTGATTGTTAAACTATTTAATTGAGGCATCACATGACAAGGGTAACTTTCACATTTTTTTTTCGGGGTTGCTCCACTTTCAATATTTGGGACATATATATGGTTGTTGTTAAATATAAGATCATCCTCACCTTTGACACACTTAAACACAAGTTCTGCTCTCCTTAAGCACCACGGTATAGTCATTTCCTAAAAACAGAACCAAAACAAATCATATGCTTTTAACAGAAATTTGTATAATAAATAAAGTCAGATCTTTATCTATAATGTTGACTATCCATGCTGTGAACAGATTCAGACAATTATTTGCTAATTCTAACTGGATTTCCTTTGGTTTTTAGGCATTCAACTTCTTCCAGCTGTTAGACTATACTTGTGGAATGCAAACTAATTTAAGTGGCCTAGTAAATATAATTTTTAAAATAAACACATCCTTAAAACTTCCTAGATAATTAATTCTAAAGACAAATATAAGTGATGTGGGAACTTCACCTAGTACAGTCAATGTTAGCATAAATAATTCTATTAAATTGTATAATATTTGCATAAGATAAGCAGTAAAATAAATGTTTTTACTACATAACATGTTACTGCAAAGGTAATGGAAATAAACAAATATCCCATCCCAGCTGCCTAGCAAACCAAACATATTCATTTTTCTATGTTCCTTTCTAATCTTTGGCCAAATGTGCACACAAGTGCCAGTATAAGACTATAACCAATACATTTATAATTATCCATACTATGATTAGTGGGTTTGCCACTTTACATTCTATTTCTTTTCACTATCATTGGAATTATTTAAATTATAACTATAAAACATGTTTACATGTTTATTATTTCATTATGGTGATTTTCAAACTTTCTCAGGATCTTTTACACTCTTCAAAATTACTGACAAAGCTGGACACAGCGGCGCATGCCTATAATCACAAATATATGGGAGGCTGAGGCAGGAGGATCACTCAAGCCCAAGAGTTTTTAACTCTAGGCAGTGTAATGTAGCAAGACTCCATCTCTTAAATACATAAATAATAAAAAAAATTACTGAGGAGTCCAATGAGCTTTTGTTTATGTGAATTATATCTCATGATATTTTATTACATTAGAAATTTTTTAAAAAATTAAAATTGAGAAAAATTTTAAAATATTTATTTCATTTAAAAACAATGAATTATATGTTAACATAAGTAACATTTTTCATGAAAAATAAACATATTTTTCAAAACAAAAAATTATAGTGATAAGAGTAATATTTGACATTTCTGCAAATTTCATTAATGCCTGACTAAATAGAAGACATCTGAATTCTCATATCTGCCTCTGTATTCAATCTGACACCAGTGCAAGAACAAGAATGAAAAGGCAAATAATGTCTTCCTTATCGACTACTCATTCTTTTGCCCTACTGAAAATTCTGTGAGATCATTAATGATTGTTAATCTCACAAGATTAAAATTCTGTGAGATCACTAATGATTATTAATTACCAAGCGTTTTATCAGTCTTATTCTAACGGACCTTACTAGTGTAATTCGCTTTAGTGACCACTCTCCTTCTTCATGAGACTCCTCCCCTCCCCTACCCCACCCTAGGCTGATGTGTCATCAAATTATCCCAGTTCTTCGCCTTTCTCTGATGGTCTTTGTGACCTCATGCCTAGTTAGTGCTATGGCTTCCTATCCAGTTTCCTGGACTCTAATCTTTCCCCTCCAAACCATAGATTTGGTTAATTTATCTTAAATATATTTCTGATCAGATGATATTCCTGTTCAAACAACTTACAATTGCTTTCTACTATCTCACATATATAATACATAAATCTTTCTTTTAATATTTAAGGCTATTTACAGCCAAAGCTACTTTAGTTTTTATGACTCAAATTTAAAAAGTGAAGGTTTCTTTCAAGCATATCTGCTCACCTCTGCCTGAACATGATCTGCAATGCCTGTCACCCGCCTCTCCCCATTTTCCCTCAATTTGTTTCTTCTGCCTAGAATGACCTTCCTGTTAATTCCATCTATTGAAACCTTATCTTCATTCTTCAATGAAGAATGAAGCTAATGTGTAGCTTAACTGGCACCTCCTCTATAAAGAATGTCCTATTTCCTCAGCTACAAATAATGTCTCTCTATCCTCTGAACTTCTAAAGTACTCTGTTATTCTTTTATCTCAAAAATCATATTTTACCCTGTCTTTTTTGGAGGGAGAGGAGGGCAGAGGAATAGGCAGAAGGATGGGATTTATGCTTTCTTAAGTTGTGTGCCCTCTGAAGGGAGAAATCCCTTTTTATTCAATTTTATTATGTTAACAATGCCTTTTATAATACTGAGCATACAGATGCTCAAAAACATAGGTTGAATGAATTTAAAAAGTGTGACTTTTTCTGTAGCCAGAAATAGGGTTTGATAGAAAACTACTTTTTAAATTTGTGTCCAAGACTCTTTAAGATTGATAAATAAAAGGCAGGTGTCTAGTTGTTTAGTGGTCTAAAAATTAAAAAATCCTCGTTTCTAAGGTCCTGGAAACTTTTCAAAATGAGTAGAATTTTCTGATATTTAATTTTAAATTATGTTTATAGCAGTTCTCAGCTTCGAAATTCACAAAAAGGAAGAATATTTCTTTGTAACTATAAATGCTGTTACAAAAGAGCCACAGTGCCTTAAGGGAATACACACATGCATAGAAGGACAAGTGTTTGGTTTTGACTTGTGCTCCCTAGTTAAAAAAAAGTGACATACAAAAAGAACAATGTGAGACTAAGAAATGTCTTCAGCTGAGAGGCAATGCTGACAGCTCTGAAAGCCATAATAATAATGTCTATGTCTACATGGAATTTTATAATATACATCATTTTTATCTCATGAAAAATAACCTCTATAAATTAAAAAAAGATGCTCAGAGAGGTATAGTGAATTGCTCAAGGTCATGAGACAGCTTAAGTCTTGTATTTTTATTTTCTTAATAGTGTCTTTTGATGAGCAAAAGTTTTGAATTTTGATGATGTACAATTTATTAAGTTTTTCTTTTATGGCTTATCATTTTGTGTCCTAACAAATCTTAACCTGCTTAACCTGATGTCATTACGATTTTTTTATGTTTTCCTCTAAGTTTTATAGTATTAGCTGTTTTGTTTAGGTCTCTGATCCATTTTAAGTTCATTTTTATATACAATATAATGTAAGGGTTAAAGCTATATTTTCTATATGAATATCCAATTGTTTTAGCATTGCTGGTTAAAAAAACTTTTTCCCTCATTGACTTGCCGTGGCATCTTTGTGTAAATCTAATGACAATGGTGTGTGGGGTAACTGACTGGCAGGGAGCAGGAGGGTAGCTGACGGTGCTGGTAAGGTCTGGATATTGGTTATATGGGTGTTCAGTTAGTGAAGATTTGAGCTGTATATGGATGTGTACTTTTTTATATGTATATTATATGCCAATAAAAAGTTAAAAATAAACAAAATCTTCATTAATAACAATTATAAAACTAAAACCTCTAAACCCCAAATTATTTAACAAGTTAATAGCAAAAATAAAAAAGAAGTCAGGAGGAGCTCAGTATTCTCTGTTTGCAGCTTCTATTAGGTTAGCTTGGCTCCAATATCACAGTATCTTCAGATCAGAACAATCTATCGAGATAAAATCAGTATGTTTTTCTTCTTGCAAATAGATTATTTTTTCTTTTTCTTTTAAAACTGTAATTAATTTCTATAGCTCTTTTATCTATCATAGGACATGGACTGTTTCAGACATCATCATTATCTTGCACACATTAAAATGTGCTAAGTGTCCTGCAATTCTATTTGTTAGAGGAAGAGAATAACACCTAAAAATGCTCTGGGATCCTTGCACCAAAGCTAAAATAAATATTACCTCTATATCCTGTGTAGTGTTGTCTGAGTTCGTAGAATAAACTTCTTGACCTGAATGGATGTTTAAATACAACAAATGGGAGGATCATGGCTCAATATACTCTTGTGAATTAAATTGGACACTTTGGAAACAAACTTAATGTTCTGCAGCTGGTGGTTCCAATTTAAAACATGTAACTTTTGTAACATTGTGGGAGAGGGAATGCTAGTAGTATCAGATGTCTGAAAGTAAATCTGAACTTAGTGACTTTTGGAAACACTGTTTTTGAGGTTGTTTCCCACCTACATATAACCATTTTTATAAACTGGTTAACCAGGAGTCCAGCTGCAAGAATGTTTGGATGTTTCCTTGTGGCAGGAATCCATCATAAACTTTCTGTTACTCCCCGAAGACCTTTTTATAGATGAACTAGTTAGTGATGATAACTTAACAATAGCTAAAAATTCCTGATGGAAATAAAATTTTATAAAGCTACAGTAAAAAAACAATAACAACAAAAAACATGTTTGTCCATCTCTCCTGATACCATATTAGGTATAACTGAGGCTACAGAAGTGAATGGAATGAAAAAATCACAAAGTTTGATGTAGCTTTCATAGGATGGTACCAGAATTCTCTACATCAAAACAATAATGTGCCTGGTGAAAATAACCCAGACTATATTATAAATGAGAAATCATTTAAAATCATCCCATCTTAGATGGAATTAATTATGTTTTTGTGTTTACATAGAATACTAAGTTTAAAATGAGACCTTTTAGGCTGGGCGCGGTGGCTCATGCCTATAATCTTAGCACTCTAGGAGGCAGAGGCAGGTGGATCACTTGAGCTCAGGAGTTCGAGACCAGCCTGAGCAAGAGCGAGACCCAGTCTCTACTAAAAATAGAAGGAAATTAATTGGCCAACTAAAAATACATAGAAAAAATTAGCCAGGCATGGTGGAGCATGACTGTAGTTCTAGCTACTTGGGAGGCTGAGGCAGAAAGATTGGTTGAGTCCAGGAGTTTGAGGTTGCTGTGAGCTAGGCTGACACCATGACACTCTAGTCTGGGCAACACAGTGAGAGTCTATCTCAAAAATAAATAAATAAATAAAAATAAAAAATAAAAATACAATGAGACCTTTTACCATATAATGAGTCTACATGGGGACTTAGTATAAAAAGTAAAACATAAAATCTTTTACATTGCCATTTAAAATATAGCATCTACACATATCTTTTATTTTGGTAACTTTTAATAATCGATGATCAAACTCCCTGATATTCACAATCTGCACCTACCAGGTAGCAATTTTGCTTTTTACAAAATGCCTCCTCAAAACAAGCAGGCACAGAGTTGGCAGATATGGGTCCTTCAGCACGTGGCAGACCCCTGGTTCTCCTGGATGAACTTGTCTGCGCCCATTTGGTTTGAGGCTCCTATTTCTCTACACTATTTGAAGTTGAATTTTACTCTTTGTATTATTTCAACAACTTATGCCCTCTAACCATTTTTTATGTGGGTGAAAGAATAAAGCAGGAGGGAAACCAGTCATGGAAATGGACATTTTAAAATTAAATTACAGTATATAACAAAATAGATGAATGATTATACTACATCTTAACTGCAGAGGCCAAAACTTGTATGATCCAAAGAGCACCCTTGAGAAAATGTTAAACCAAGCTCTTCCTGTCATCTAGCATCTGTTTCCATTTCCTATTAATGTATACCTAGAGAATGCAAACTAATTTTAATGTTAGCTTAAGCCAAATACGTATGTGAAGGTAAATCTAATGCTACTTAAGACAAAAATAGAAGAGAAGAGAGAGGAAGATGATGAGGAGGAGAAGGTGGAAGAGAAGATGGAGGATGACAGGGAAGAGGAGGAGGAGCAGGGGCATACACTTTATCCAAAGCTAAAAATTATTTTGATGTTCCAGTTTATCCACTATAGGACAAGGCTAAAAACCTCTGAACATAAGTGGTTAACAATTATTCACTGTTTTGTATCATATGTCACTCAATTCTATTAACCAGGTTAGGAGATGTAAAGGTCCATTAGTTAAAAAAAAAGTGCCTTTAAAATATAAATGTAAAGTGGATTATTATAAAATATTGAGGGCTAACATATTCATAAAATTACAGGATTTTTTTTTTATCTGCTTACTTCTGACATATCATGCACCAGCAAGAGAGGAATGCTTATTGTAGTGATGTCATGGGTACAGCAAACTTTGAGTATATTTCGGAGTCCCATAATTGCAGGATCACGAGCAGTGATGTTTCCTGACTTCACATTGTCGTCCACACAGAGATGGAAAGCAACATGGATTTCTGAGAGATTAGAATGCCGTGTAATGTAAAATTCTCCTGTGAACAGCAAAATTTTCACAAGCATAAATCACATTTATCAATGGGCTTTTATAAGTAACTTCAATGGGCGATCAATGTGTTAAACTAGTGGGGGTTCCTAATAGGAACATTCATGGGGCTCAGGAAATGACTATCATTACTGCTGCTTAATTCTTGGAAAGAAGGTAATGAATATAAGAGATAATAGCTAATTTTGCAATAGGTTCATAAACTGGTATAAAGTGACCACCAAAGAGTAAATAAGTAAAATGAGTACTAATCATCCTTATTTTGATGTAAATGTTTAAAATGTCAAATTTAACATGTAATAACATTTTTTCCATGCCCTAATCTGCTCTTCCTCATCTCAATTTATAGGACTAATCTCTGTGTAGTTAGTTACTCAGAACACAAATAGAGAAGTTGTCCTTAATTCATTCCTTTCCCTCAATGACTATTTTCCCATTCACAATCCAATTTACCACCACCTATTTTCAGTTCTATCTCCAGAGAATCCCAAATATGAACATTCTACCTTTACTGCTGTCATCCTCCTTCATGTTACCATCATCTTTCACCCAGGTTTTTGTAATATTCTCTTAACTGATCTCTTTGTTCCCACTCTTGCCTAGCTACAAGCCATTTCTTCACTGCAGTCCAAATGATAAAAATATAAATCATATTATATCATTCCACTACTTAAAAAACATCCATCAGGCTTATACTACAGCATTTACAAAACAATCTAAACACTTCATTGTGGTCTACAAAATCTCAATGATCTGAAACCTGCCCCCTCTCCAAAATCTTCTTGTCTTACACTCTCTCTTTATGCTCCAGCCACACCGGCTTTTGTTCAGTTCTTCAGACAAGCGGAGATTGTCCTCAATTCAGGGCTGTTGCCAAGAGGGCTTTTCTCCAAGATTCTCATGTGGCTTACTTCTTTTCATCAATAACATCTCAGATCAAATGTCACCTCCTCAGATAGGTCTTCTGTGACTATCCTATCTAATGTAGAACTCCCCAACCCCTCACTCATTCTCTTTCACGTTATTTTGTTCTATTTTCTTCTTGGCACCGACATTCTTTTGTTTATGTAGATTATTTTAAAGAGCTTACTGTGTATGTGTCATGACTATAGGAATTTTGTCTATCTTGTTTAATGTTCTATTTCTAGACATAGAACAGTACCTGGCACATAGAAGGTTTTTAATAAATATTTGTTGGATGAACAAATGAATATTTTAGACTGAATGATAGAGTAGTTTTTCCTCAAACCTTAAAATCTATGCTAACTACAATCCTTTTTCTATGTAACCTCATCAGCCAAGAAAAGTTTCATCAGCTTTTATTTTCTATAGTTTCTGTCAATATAAAGAAATAAACTATAAAACACATAAAGAATATGTTTTTACAAATATACATACCTCAATGGAAATTCTGAGGTGTCCTTCTAAAAAACGTTTGCTCATCTCTACTTTTCCATTATTAACCCTTGCCCTCACAAATTCTGCTCACCCTTGCTTCAACATCATTAGCTTAGGATTTTACTTACAAATATACAGTATATTTAAAAGTAGCCAATATACTTTAGCACTATGTTTAACACTTCTAGATACCAGTATACCTAAGCTGTACCCAAAGATACCTCTGATAGACCCTAGGTAAAGGTCTGTTGTTTTTTTTTTAACTTGAACAGGTAAAGGAATTAGATAAACAGAAAAATAAATTAAAGAAAGGACAATGACAGAGATACCAAAATAAACTGGATACAGAGAAAGTAAAAAGAAAACTGTCTGGTGAGGAATAGTCTTGTTACAACCTCCCAGGAAAGCAATGAAAGGCACAGATTGTTATCAGAAACCCAGTGAACTATGGGAGATAATATGCTCCTGGGCCCAGTGAAGTGGACTACTTCCTAAATGCCTACTGATAATTCATAGGATGAAACTCATAGCTTTGAATATGGGCTGTGGTTCGGCAGTGTGGCAGGATGACTTAGTGAACAAGTCAGGTGTTCCTAATCTTCAGATTGGCACTCTCTCTTTGACCTTAAATGACTTGTCTCCTGGCCTCATTTTACCATCCATTAATAAAATAGGGGTCATGAGGCTGGAAGTTATTTAATTAATATGATATAGTAGAAAAAAGACTAGATTGGATGTTAAGAAGATCTGGTCTCTACCACTCTAGCTGTGTGATCTTGGGCAAATCAATTCAATTTATTGATCCTCTGTTACTTTGTGTAAGAGATGGAAAAAATAAAGCCTGATTGCTGTTCTCAGAATGTTGTTGGGAGAATTAGATGATGTAAACTATATACTTATATCATGATAAAGTAAACTACCTCTCACGTAAAAGTATGTAAATAAAACCGTTTATCTTCATAATTAAACAAATGTAAAAATAATTTATGATTTATATTTTTTTCATCTCCAATAAACACCCTGATTATGTAGGCATCCTTTAACTAAATGGAAATTCAGAAGCAGTTTCAACATCTAATTGAATAGTTTAATATTCCTTTTCTAACTCACACTTATGACACATCCTGATTTGGTGGTAATAAGGAGATAGGCTTTTTCAAAAAAAAACAAAGAGTAAGGAAAGAAATAAATATAACAATAAAGAGTTAAGTTAAAAAAACTGAAACAGACATTAGTATTTCCAGAATAGTAATAAGATTGGCACATTTTAAGAAAGCCACAAAATATGAATGATTTAGTATGGATCTATGAAAAGAGAAATACAATAAATGCTTCATTGAAGGTATTTTTAGCTGGAGAGGAGGATGGTTTCCTGCTCCACAAAGTGGAGGAAGCAGCCTGTGGTGATTCTAACATTATCCATATCTGAAGGTGGGAGCAAACTCAGAGGCTGATGACCGCAAGCTGACTGGGTCTGACAAGACGAATACCAGAAATGGGTATGGTATTTGCTTAGATTAAACTTAATGTGACCTGCATGTTGAAGATCTAGAGAAGGAAATGTGAGGAAACTACCTTAAAGGAGAATAGAAAACTATATCAAGAAATGGCTATTTCTGAAACTGTAAAATTTACCATTTAGCTTTAAAAACTCCATACTTATACAGCACACAGATAGGCTGTCCTTCATATGCCTTGATATACAAACGCTACTAAGGGTCATTAGAGTGAATTCAATCAAAAGATGATCGAGAGATTGAATTTCTAGTTGTTAAGTAACATACCCAAGAATAATAAAGGAAATAAAAGAAATGGAAAGCAGAAAAATGTAAGAGGAAATGAAAATAATATTCTAAATAAGATGACCCATTTTCTTTCTATAAGTTCAACTGTTTATATCTCTATGTACTATTGTTTATATTTCACTTGATCTTAGCCATAAGACCAAGAAGCATATTGTTTATATTTATTTCTTGGTTCATTTCTTAAGAAACTAAAAATAATGTATAAGAGGAAATTTGAAAATAGCAAATAATGATAAAACTCATTCAACTTCTTTAGCAATTTCTCTTGTATAAATCTAGAAAAAAGTACTAGTATAAGAATAAAGTTTCACATTGGAGAACATCTGTGAAAGTGTATTATATAGATAAAAAATGTTTCAAAGTGATTTACTGATAAACATTTTATAATGTACACCATAAGAATTTATGTTTTAAATGTATGACTTTAGTATATGTGATTATAAGAAAATAGCATTGAAAATAAAATAATACTTACCTGGTAATATGTTTAAATAGTTTCTCTCAGCAGTCTTAGTTTTATCATCACTTCCTCCATTTTGGTTTCCAGAATCTATTCATAAGATAATGCAACATGAAAGAACATAACAACATATGAAAACACATCATTACTACGATATTCCCAAAATAAAACAGCAGCAGCAAAAACTTACTAAAGGCTTCTATGTGTCAGGCATTCTACTACATGCTTTAGATAGATGGTCTCATTTAATTCTTACAAAACCCTAGTAACCACAACTCTATGAAGTAACTACTATCATCATTTCATACATAAGGAAAAAGAGGCATAGATGGGTTAACTAACTTAAACAAGCACACAAAGATAAATGGCGGAAACAGATCTGAACTCACATACTCAGATTCTAAATCCTATCGTATTAAACCACATTAGACATGCCAATACCCTATTTTCCATCTGGGAGGTTCAGGGCACCAAGTTAACTACACGTAAAATAACTTCATCAGATAGTTGTGGTGTGGCCATCTTTATTTTTAGAATCTGAGTCACTGCTGTTGATTTAGCTTGTTCAGGACTACAAATAAATGGCTAGTAGCACCAGGAATTACTTTATATTCAGCCCATTCCTAAAATTTATGTCTTATCTAATACCATATACAATTAATTTCAGATATGTGAAACTGCTTCAAATGGAACATTTTTGTTCTGCTTTTTTTTTTACTTTTTTTTTTCTTTTTTTTTGAAGGCATCATATTTCTTAGAGGGGAATAAACGTTGGTAAAGTAAGCATTATTTTTGAACACACATTATTATGGTTGAATACAAATTATTTTACATACATATATATTGTCAATAGAAGATATATTTGAATTTTATAAGAATTCTATCAGAACTCACAAATGGAAAATGAATACTAGCCTTCAAAGTGGCTACCTTTAAGAGGCTGTACATTTATTCCAGTTAAATTAAAAACTATTTTGGAATCCAGTTTGGAATGGCCTTCAGCATTAGAAAATCACATGAAAACAGTGAGACATTCAAATGAGTAAACTGCAAATAACAAAATATTATAGTTTCAAAAGTGATCTGAATAAAAGTAACAATATTTTTATCTAATATTTTTATTACTTGGATAAAGTGATTTATATGTCATGTCTTGTAAATGCATATATTTTATAAATCAGGAGACAGAGACAGGCACAGAGGGAAGGCTCTGTGTAGCTAGAATCTATATTTAATATAACATTCTGTTTCTAATACAGAGCCATGTAATTGATAGACTTTGAATAAATGTCTGATAATAGCACAGGTAACAAGGAATAATAAATGAGGACTCTAATTTTGTTGGTGTGTGATATGAGTAAATGGAATCCCTATTAAGTAAACAAGGGAGAACAGTACACAGTCCACTCCCCTCTCCATGTTTTAATGGTAATACTTCATTCAGTAATACTAAGAAGATGGTTGTTTTTATTTTTTATAAAAATGTGCATAAAAGCAGTTTTGACTCTTTATCGTGAACCATAGAAATATAAAGATGTTAATATAATAACCACAGTAAGAAAAATAATGGAATGTCTTGGAATAAACAGGTACTTATGTGTTAGGATGTGAAGCTGAAGAACAGATACATAGGTAGCACAGAAGACAGAGAAAGTATTTTCACAAATCTCTTTTGTAAGTATTAATACATGCAGATTCCTTTATGAAAGTTGTCTTTTATAACCCTACTTGCATCACTGACTCAAACCACAAAGTAGTTGCTTGAACAAAAACAAAATAAAACCATGATATACACACACTGCCTGAACCGTATGTGGTTTAAAAACTTCCTGTCATTTACTGCGTGCTTTCTATCTCTCATAAATATACTTAGAATCCTCCCCTCTCCCACACCTGTCATGATCTCAATTCAATCTTCATGCTTTTAAGTCACTACTAAGAATAACATTTAAATGTTCCTAATCACATCATTGCCAGTTTGAATGAGATGGAGGAAGACAGTAGAAGAATGAGAGAGCAAAATAGGATTTTCTGAACGGTCCTTTATTAGGATATATTTCTATATTGATTTTCTAATCTTAGCCTGGCTCTGTCATATATAACACTTATTGTCACAGTGGGAATATAAACTGGTGGAACCGCTATAGAGACCAATTGCTAATATTACCAAAATTATAAATGTATGTGCCCTTTAACCCAGAAATTTCTCTTTAGGAATCTCTTCTGTAGATATGCTTCCTTATTATTACACATATAGAATGATTCATATGCAAGGTTATTCATCATTTCTAGACATTACTATTTATAATAACAAAATATTACAAATAGATTAAATGTCTATCAGTAGGGGACTAATAATAGGATATCTGCAATAGACTACTATATAATAGCAAAAAAAGTATGAGGATAGCCTTTATGGACTGATATGAAATGATCTCCAAGATAAATTATTCAGTGAAAAAGGCAGAGTACAGAACAGTGTGTATAAAAAGCTGCCATTTGTGTAAAAAAGGGAAATAAATACACATAGACACATGCTTATATATAAACATCTGTCTGAAAAGTACATGTGAGATAGCACTGGCTGCCCCTGAAGAGGGAAACTGGATGGCTGGAGGACAGAGTTAGGAAAACTTTCACTGCTTGCTCTTTTGTACAATTTGAGTTGTGAATCTTGAGAATGTTTCACCTATTTAAGAAATGATTAAAAATACATGAAATATATATTTTTAAAAGTATAATCGATAGACAAAAAAAGTATAGTGAATGCTAATCAAGTTAAGACTAGATAGCAGCCACATTTTAGCTTCAGAAGAAAGGAAGAATTCTACAATTTACATGGGAGAGAGGAACAAAGATAACAAGCAAAGATATAATAATATCTGTCCACCACTACAAAACATCAAACATATGTACTATTATGTTTCCTTTTAAACACTGCAGTAGCAATAGATTTTTTTATTTTTAAAAAAAGCATTCAAAGTACCAGAAGCAGATTTAAAGGTCTGAGCAGCCCTAATTTAAAAATTTGTCATATTTTATTTCCTGGGTATCAATTTTTTATAAGAATCTTGAAAATCATCCAAAGAAAATGAAATTAAGCACAGAGTTCAAACTTCTAAAGATTTTAAATTTTGTCTTCAATTTCCTCCTTCCAACTTCTACCAATACAATTTTCCATATGATTTAATAATGACCCATATGCCATTTGAGTGATTAGAGACAGAATATACTAAAAGTAAATTTTTTTTAAATTTGAGTTTTACCCACCATGTGATTCTTTCAACTTACTCCTGCGCTGGGTCCTAGCATAAAGTACCACCTGTTGGACCACTTCTAGTTGCTCTTCAATTCGGGGAAAGTGGAAGTCAGTACATTCTTGGCAAACTGTGGCAAAATCTGAGGGGTCCAAAACATTTATAAACTTCTAAATGTAAAATATCAAATATTTAATATTTACTTATAGACAATGAGATCTGGTAGAAACAGAAAATAAAACTCACAAGTATGATTTCTTATACTTGGCCTTTCAATGAGTATACCTTAAGTTACAGCACAGCAATTCTGTTTTGATCAGAAACTTAAACTATCAATCACTCAAAAGAGTAAATAATTAACAGACAAGGAGGCCAAGCACAGTGGCTCACGCCTGTAATCCTAGCACTCTGGGAGGCTGAGGAAGGCGGATTGCTTGAGGTCAGGAGTTTGAAACCAGCCTGAGCAAGAGCAAGACCCCATCTCTACTATAAATAGAAAGAAATTAATTGGCCAACTAATATATATAGAAAAAATTAGCCAGGCATGGTGGCGCATGCCTGTAGTCCCAGCTACTCAGGAGGCTGAGGCAGTAGGATTGCTTGAGCCCAGGAGGTTAAGGTTGCTGTGAGGTAGGCTGACACCACGGCACTCACTCTAGCCTGGGCAACAAAGCAAGACTCTGTCTCAAAAAATAAATAAATAAATAAATAAAAAAAACAGACAAGGAAATGTTAGTATAATTTCAGGTCTTCTTTAAATAATATATACTTTGGTCATAATCCATGCGTAATTGTGCTACAAAATACAAGAAGTTTCTTATATTTATGAGGGGAATAAATTCTAGTCAAGGTTCTTTCAAAAACTGCTATATATTTCAGTACTTTTTATATATTCAAGAATTCAGAAATAATCATAAAAAGTGATTTGTACTGCGAAGAAAGATAGAATTTTACCAGTACATTTAGGAGGTAGGTTATTTAAAAAGAAAAAACAAAAGGCAAATGGATGGACTAAAATTCACTAAGCCAGGATCTACTTCTAAATTGAAAAATACATTATATCTTCATTGAAATAGGATCCTATAAAAGCATTATTTATGGTATAATAGCATTTTAAGAAAAAGTTAGTATGAAGTACTATACCAATGCTGAACATTGAAATAAATCTAAAGTAGCTATGGCTGGGTATATTTGTTATTGGTCTACTTGAATACTAGGGATTAAATTTTTTTTCAGGTTTTCCATAATTGCCTTCTTTGTAAGAATGGCATTACAAGGAGAAATTTAACCACTAAATGTGTATGATATTAACTTACCTCTTTTAATACCACTATATGAATTTATTCGATTGTCTACTAGTAACACCAGGCCACAGAGAGACGTAGAATAAAGTGATAGTGCTGTTTGGAGCCGATGGAGTTTCACACCACTTCTATGATTTCTTTTATGTTTACAGAAGTCTAGCATATCTGCTCTCAGCAACCTCAAATTATGCATGGTCTTCAATTGGGCTCCTGGGGGGTGGGTAGGCAACAGTCCCAGAAAGATAGTTAAACAGCTGCACAAATCCAGTATAATAGCATGGAAATATCTATGGCAAGAATCCAGATAAATCTGTGCTATAAAAAATAATTAAAAATGGGCCTTACAGCTATACATTTTAATAACTATTATAATTTAATCTTTAATATGCAAAACATAAGCTAAGCAGAAAACTTATAGCCAACATACTATAGGATTTCTCAGAGCAGGACATAATTTGGAATTAAAAATAACATGGCTACACTCTACTCACATATCAGGAATTTTTCCCTTACACCATTAAAAACGTTTCCAAAGTTACAAGAAATTATAACTGTAAAAAATTAATACACTTACCTAAGTGAATGGTAAAACTTTCTTCTAACTTTCTCTGTTCCTCATATATCCTTCCAATTGCTTCTACAGATTCTCTGAACTGACTTGGCTGAACTTTAATTTCTTCACTGAAATTAATAAAATTATTGACTTATTTGTCTGTCATATTGTCTGTCAAAAACTTTTCTTAAGTAATGCAAGCTTTATAACAAAATGAGAGAAAACTGAACAGCTGAGAGTAGTGCATAATTTATTACTAAAATAATCCTTAATACACGGTGATAACTATGCCATAAGCACCAACAGGTTCTACAATTCCCTCTTGTTCTTTCATTTCCTCACAGTAAGTAATGCAGATTATTCTTTTCATTCATTACAATATCGATTAATGTATTAGCATTTAATACTTCTTAGTGCCCTAAGGGACTGATTAAATGAAGTGATTAACTTATTACTTTAAAAATAACTATATTTTAAAATATATAATGCATCCTCTACCAAGGCTAACTCTAGGCACAATTAGAAAATAGGTGAAGTGATAGCAATGATAATTAAAAGTTAAAAAGTCAAATAAAATTAATAATTTTTAAAATGATGAAGTTCATTATGATGTATATATATCCTCTTTTTTTTTTACCTTTTTTTTTTTTTACCTCCAACATTCTCCTCCCACTAAACAACCTCTCTTTGCTCTGTTCTTATTTCTTGAAAATGTGTCCGCAGAGGACTGATAACTGTAAATCCATTCAATTCAAATCTCACGGTAAACTGAAGATGATACAAATCTACAACAATCATCCACTTCACGGACTAAATTTTGCAGGTTAATCCCAACAGCCTCATTAGTCTTAATGACTGAGTTCATTAGTAAATGTGGTAAATTTAAACTTACAAATAAATTTATATTAATAAAAATCCTCATCTTAGGATATAGAAAACTGTCAGAGAACACTGTCCCCAATAATAAAAGCCAGATAATCTATTAAATCTCTGTTGGAGTCCAACAGAGACTTGAGGTAACAAAGTAACTAAATAAACTGTATTCCAAAGTGTGACACACCCTTCCAAGGGGCGACAGGACACACAAAAAGTTTCAAATTTAGTAGAGCATGGCTGAAATAGGTTGCTGTCATACAAAGGGGTAAAAAATCAGCTAAAATTTTAACAGATTCTTAAAGGCCATGTGTGGGCTAGCATATCAATTTAAAATAGTTAGGAACCACAGGCACATGCACTTGCTAACTCTTTTCCATTGGTCTCTACCAGGTATTTCCAAGAAAAGACTGGGACAGGAGACAAGAGAGCCCTCTGGAGGGCATGGGTAGAAATGCTGGGAATGCCACATACCCAAGGCCCATATACACGTGGCTTACTCAAGACTGGAGCAGGACAAAGACAAAAGAGCTGGACAACAGTTAGACAAAGTGACCTTCCCCTAGCCCCCAAATATGAGCCTAGCACAAAGTAACAAGCAACAATAGTTTGTTGCTGGAAAGTAGAGTAGCATCATAGAGAAAGATTCCATTCTGTGGCATAGGTATGCAAAAAAACTTAGGATGAAGCAGAGTGACACAAAAAAACACTCTAGAACCCAAGTGCCACAAAGTAGTATCAGCCTACTATTTTAGAAAATGAAGCCTGTGGTGTACTGAAGGCACTGATAGATGTAATAAAAATCAAACTTAGCTTGATTACTAATAGGATTTGCACAACCTTCATATTAATGGCCCATTCATTTCTGGACATAAATACTATTTATTTCAGTCTCATCTTTTTTAATATCCATAATATCCAGCATTCAGTTAAAAAGAAGAAGAAGAAGGAAGAAGAAGGAAGAAAGAAGAAATACAAGAGATACCCAGAAAAGCAAAAAAAACAAAAATAAACCCCCGAAAAATCCCAACCTACTGTCAAGAGATAAAGCAATCAATAGAAACAGATTTGGAGATGACTCAGATATTGGGACTAAAAGTAGGGGATTTTCAAATAACTATGACCAATATCTTAAAAGATCTAGTGGGAAAGGTGGACAACACACAAGGACAGACAGAGATTTCAGTAAAGAGGGAAAACAAATGGAAATACAAGAAATCAAAACATATCAGATTAATGATCAAAGATCAACTCATTTTACAATGCCACCATTACCCTGATACCAAAACCAAATGAAAGGACCTCATTGCACAATGGTAGTGTGTCTGACTCCAAAACCAAATGAAGATACTATAAAAAAAAAACCTACAGATCAATATACATATACACATATCAATGGTGGTGGGTATGTCACATATACACATGTGAAATAACATATCGTGTAAAACCTAAAGCTATGAAACTTTGAGAAGAAAACATAGGAGAAAATCTTTGTGATTATGAATTAGGTAAAGATATCTTAGATAAGATAGAAAGCACTTAAAAATTGATAAACTGGAAGAACACAGAGGGTTTTTAGGGTAGTAAAACTACTCTGAATGCTACAACAATGTTAGATTCATGTCACTGCACATTTGTCCAAACCCATTGAATATACAATGGTAAGAGTCAACTCTAATGTAAACTATGGACCTTGGATGATTATAATGTGCCAATGTAGGTTCTCAATTATAACAAATGTACCACCTTGCTGGGGGATGTTGATAATTGGGGAGTCTCTGCACGTGTGGGTCAGGTGGTAAATCTTGGTACCTTCCTCTCAATTTGCTGTTAACCTAAAACTACTCTGAAAAAACAGTCTTTGATAAGAAAAACTGATAAACTGCACTTAATTAAAATGAAAAGCTTTGCTCTTTGAATGACACTAATTAAAAAAAGGAAAAGACAAGTCACAGAGTGGGAGAAAACATTTGTAAAACAATATCTGATGACAGACTTTTATCCAGAATATATAAAGAACTCTCACAACTGGAGACAAAGGAGAGATATGGATGGAAAACCAGCCCACAAAAAAGTGTTCGACATAATTAGTCATCAGAGAAATTACAAAGTAAAACTATAATGAGAGACCACTACAAAACCTACCAGAATGGTTAAATAGCAATACCAAGTGCTGATAAAAACATGGAGCATTGGGAACCCTCATACACCAGTAGTGGGAATGCAAAATTGTACAGCCATTTTGGAAAATAGTCCATCAGTTTCTTGTGAAGTTAAATGAACACTTACCATATGACCCAGCAATCCCACTCCTAAAGTATGGGGATTACATATTTATGCAAGAAAAATAAAAACATGTCTACATAAAGAGCTGTACATGAATGTTCATAGCAGTTTTATTTATAGTTGCCCAAATTTGGAACTACTTCAAATGTCCATCACCAAGTAAATGGATAAACATATAGATAACAGAATACTACTTAGTAATAAAAAGGAAAGAACCACTGATACATGGAACTACATGAATGAATCTCAAAAGTTTTAGGCCAAGTGAAAGAAGCAAGATACAAACTGCTACATACAGTTTGATTCCATTTACATAACATTTTGAAAAAGTCAAAACCACAGTGACAGAAATCACACAGGGTGACGGGGGCTGGCTAAGGGGAAATGGGATTAACTAGGAAGGTATGAAAGGGAAATGCTATATCTTGACAGCAGTGATGATTTTATGAATATATTTATCAAAATTCATCAAACTGTACACCTAAAACAGATGTATTTTACTTTATGTAATTTATCCCTCAATAGATCTGACTTTTTAAAAAAGTATAAATAAATAAATATAAGTAAAATACCATTTTTATCAATCTCATATAGGGGTTCCATATAAAGTTATGTTGAAAACAGGTTTCCACTGCCCAAAGAAACATCTATAAAAAGGAAAGCAAACTAACAAAGTCACAATGAAAACATTCTTTCCTAGGAATATTTGGTTTTTAAAAGCACAGCAACTAGAGGCCAATATTTATAGAATGGAAATAATTCTATAGATTGAAATTCTGAAACTATAGCAGCAAAATGAGGGATAACTTTCACAGCAATGGGCTTTTTCAGCTTCCTTCTCAGTTTTAACTTTTTTGACTATAATATACAATACATACTTTACATTTTGGCTCAAAATACACATTCATTTATAGAAGTCTTCATGCATGATACACTCTGTTATTTTCTCCCCATTCTATTCTATCCCACTGTTGTTTTTAAAAGATTGGTTGTTCTGTATTTCTGTTTAGGTTAAGGGGAAAAAAATGTAAAAAAAAATATATAAAAAGAAAATAAAAAAGGTTGGTTGGAAAGTAAAGGATCTAGAATGGTCCCTAGCAGACTGTAACTAACAATTTGGGGAAAACAGTAAGGCAAATAAAAGATTATACTATTTAGATATCAGGTAGAAAGTGTAATGATAATCCATCCATCTGTCCGTCCACCCATCCTGTAAATATTTGCTGAGCATCTCTCATGTGCCAATGTCAAGAGCTAAACACTTAACAAGGAACTGGGTATGTAACATAAAAAAAAAAAATAGACATAAGACTGACATTAAAATGCTATTTTAAAATATTTACAGTAATAGTATATACTAGCATAATCTAGAAATAGGATTATTATACTGTACTCAGTATATTTCCAATTGAATATACTTTAGGATTTAAAAGAAGAGAAAAATTCTCAAACATATTCATACACAGCAAGGACATTACAGGGGCACAGTCAGGCTCTAAGGCAATATGCCAAACACAATGTATTTAGGCTGTGAGGTGGCATACAAATTATGAATTATGAAAAATCCTCCATACTACTGATGTACCTTGTACATGCTTATATTATCACATGTATTACTCTACACAATATTATTTTGTTTACACATTGGTCTCTCTGAATATAAGCTGCAATGAATTTTTACATGAATAAGAACAACACATGGTTAATACCTGAGGGAACTGTTGTTGGGGTTTTTTAGGTCTTGATGAAGTTTGATCACCCATTCCTGATACTCTTGCTTTTGGATGGCAGTGGATTGTTTTAATTCATTCGACCATTTATTCTCCAAGTCCTAAGAGAGATAGTGAGTCAGCTGGTTAAACTTATTACAAAAAAATAAAAATAAATAAGTAAAACAAAATGCAACCACATAACCAAGAGTCATTGTATATAACTTACTTGCTGGGATTCAAAATGCTGAGCAGCCAGTGAATTTACATCTTGATCTGTCAGTGATTTTCCCAATTCTTGCATCACTTTATCCATTTCAACACCTTGTCTAAAACATAAATAAGCAAATCAGATATATTCATCAAACTTTCAAGGTATATGACCCTTCAGATTCACTGAACCATTAAATTAGTCAAAAATCTAAGTTACTTTTCAATCATCATAGCTAACATTTAAAAGCCTGGACTCCTTTTCACCTGCAAATTTCCTCAAAGAAGATACTCTACAATTCCAGCTTACATATATTTTCTATTTGTATAGAAACTGAAGTGACTTCAACCTCTGAAAGTTAGTTATATCCAGAAGCTGCCAGTTAGATTCTAAGAGTCAAATTATTATTGACAAGTCACAAAATTACCTTTACAGAAAAATGTAAAATACAGTCTGAAGATGTTATAGTCTTCTTATCTTCTTCATTTATCCAAAGAAATAATGTGCAGAAATTAAAAATGGTTTTCCCTACAGGAAAAGCTAATCAATGATGTTCTAGAAGAACAGATAATCGTGATTTAGGGGGAACAAGAGGCTGTGACTTAAACAACATGAGGGAAGCTTCTGTAGTGCTGGAAATACTCTATTTATTGATCTGGGTGATGGTTATATAGGTGTGCTTACTTTGTTAAAAAAAACAAAACACCCACAGTTTGTTGGCTTTTCTGTATGTATATTTTAATTAATAAGTTGATTTAAACATTTCAAATTAAAAATTATCTTCTAATACAAATGTGTGCAAAAAGTTTGTTCTAAAATATATTTCAAACAAACTGGGAAAGACCAAAACATAGACATAAACTAAAAGAATTTCATTATCATTCCAGTTAAGTAAATTGCTCTTAAAAGTGAATTTATACTTATTTGTAACAACTGATTAATATAATTCTATATATGATCAACAAATCTCACTCATACAAGGTATACATATATACATTTCTATACATACCTTCTGGTATTAAATATTCAATATCATTTAATCCCCACTTAATTCTAACACAGGTAGCCCCATTAACTTTTTAATAACTACTATAGGTCAGGTGACTTGTGCTTACAAGAATTTTATTTAGAAACAGAAATAACTGCTAAATATTTATAAATACAGATATAAAATATATTAATATTTTATATTACACATGTTCCCCCTAGTGGACAAAAAGTATCATTACCATTTTTAAAAAAATATCTAGAATCTGGTTTGCTAAAAAAAGCAAATTTCTTGAGAAGAAAAAAAGACAAATAATGATTCAACAAATAAAATTTTATGAACATTTATTTCACTCTAAATGTGTCCAAAATACAAGTAACTAATAATACAGCTAATGATACAACACAGATTCTCTATGATTAAGATTGAAGGAAATTTTATTATATTTCAGACAAAATACTAAATATAGACTGGCTCAGTATGTCAGGTGTGACAACTCTGACAATTTTAATAGTACCTTGAAGACACTTAAACAAACAAGATCATTACAACTTTAGTATTAATGCTGTGCTGAGAAACTGTCTTTTAAAGCTATAAAATGGCATGAAAATGAAAGGAGGAATAAGAAAATGTGTCACATCTGCTCATGGATTGGATGAATAAATTAAGCATCAAAATTTTGGGCGAACTTCCACACAGTAAATTTGAACTTACCTTAAGTCATACTGTTTAGCTTTGCAATAAATATTACCTACCAGAGGAATACAGCTTATTTTTCTTTTTCAAGCTAATAGTTTGGACATATGAAAAATAATCTATAACACTGTTTTTAAAGTAGAAGAATTCAAATATTATTTATATGCTTAGAAAGAAAAAAACGCAAGGCTCCTTCAAGAAATTTGACCAAAGAACATTTCAAACAATTAAATAAACCAAAACAAACCCCTACTAAAAAACTATTCCATGATAGAAAGAAAAAAAGTATAAAGTACCAGTAAATGCAGATAATTAGTAAGTTAATTAAGCTTCCAAAAAGGTGAAGAGCCATGTGGAACAGGAATCTTCTTCTGATTTAGGAAAACAAACAAACAAAAAACCAAAACAAAACAAAACCCAATTATAAGGTATTGGTGTCCAGATATGGAGTTTTCTGGGAGGTATAGTGAGCAGGCAGCAATGTATGCTGCAATATAGAGTAGTTCAACAGCTGAATGAAAGTATACGTAGCTAAGATGCGAATTTATCAATATATCGAAATAGGCAGAATAAGTGTAGTCTCAGAAAACCTGAGAGCTAAGAACAGATTCAGAATGAATTGAAGGTTATATCTTTTGAAGGACTAGTAGAAAAAAATAAAAAAATAAAGTTCAACAGAAAGTAATTAATTAATATTAGGTAATCATATTTCTACATATTTAAAATCTAGTTCTGTGTTGTTTTCTTCTTTTTAGAAAACATTCACAATTTTATTGGCTACATAATAAAGAACTAGAAAAAAATCAAATATTTGTCTTCCCCAGGAACATAAGCTTCAACTATTAATATTTACCTGGTAGCAACTACCCATTCTGCTGATATACCATATAGAAAGGAATAAACTTCCTCAATACAGTTGACAAACAAACTCAAACCTATAAAGAGTGACAAAGGTCTCAAAACATCATGTTCTTTTTGATACAGAAACTGTTCTAATATTTTATAAGATATAAGAATAAATGGTCCAGAGGAATAGAATTGTTATGAAAACTTCCAATCTATGCAATATAATAAAGATGCCAGTTTGGGACACAGAAGAGAGTATACCCCCAGGAACAATTATTAAATCCATTTGTTTATTTATTTTATTTTAAATTTTCTTAACTATGACAACCCTCAAAAGAAAAGGTTATTCTCATCTTAACTACTCTTAATGTTTTCTAATGAGAAGCTAATGAGGAGGAGCAAACCAGAACATTATTTTAAATGTGCTCCTTTGGGACTATTAAATCAGTCATAAAAAATAAATGTGATCTGGTCCTATTATACTTTCACAAAGAAATTTTATATCAGCAATATTAAAAAAAATTATCTTAATGGTGTATATACCTAAAGTCTTAAATAAATGTTTTAAAGGTAATAAATGTTATTAGATTCTGCTAAATTAAAATGAATTATTTAGAAGGAAGAGTGTATCCTGCATTCATATCATGGTTTACAGAATTATGAGGAAGCAGTGTGGAAAGCCATTTATTATTTTAAAATGAATAATGCTAGAAGTTTTTTACTTACTCTGAAGAAAAAATAAATCATAAAAGCATTGTTTGTATATTGTGTTAAATAACCTATACACAGTGAATTCAAATCTAATTAAAATTTCTAAGAATAATACTAGTGTTATTATTTTTTCCTAATGGACATAAGCTTACAAAATGAACTGAAAGAGACCATGGACTTAGAACGGGGCAATAAAGAGGTTCTGAATAGGGAGAAGTATGGTATAATGATTAATAGCTTTAGATTTCAAATTCCAGCTTGCCCTTGGACAAGTTACTTAACTTATTTAAGCAGAAGTTTCCTCATCTATAAAATGGAGATAATAATAGTAGGGTTGCTGTAAAGATCAAATGAGATTGTATACCCAAAGCACTTTGTACAGTGCCAGAAACAAAGGAAACCTTCAACAGAGGTAGTCTATTCCTCTTATTAGAAATAAGAATATATAAGGACATCATTTATTTAGGCAAATCACTTGAGAAATTCTATAAACCTATGAGGATCCTCCTAGTTGAAGTTACATATTTAAACATACAAGAAAATTAATTTCTATCATTTAAGAATTTTTTCCTAGTTTATCCTTTAATTTTATAAAAAATAAACGCAGGTCTGCAGGTCACTATATTTGATGATGTAACATTTAATTATGATAATACAAAAAATTTGAAATACCTCTCTCGTAATTTTTTCAGTTCCACATCTCTTTCACCGATCAGTTCTGAGATGCTAACAAAGTAATTATGTTCTAAATTAAGGAGCGTTTCAGAGGCAGGGGAATGGATTAGGTCATGGTACACATCTGCAAAATCTTCATCCCAGCTGGGTTCTTCAGGCCTTGCATGCTCTAATGTGGTCTACGAGACGAACACATAGACATTCTTAAATCATAACATAGTGTTTTTATTTAACACACTACTAGGAAAGTATGTATATTACCATTCCAATTTTTGTACAACAGACAACAACAGAAAGACCTTCTATTTATATATGTGTGTAGATGTATATATGTGTGTGTATGTGTATGTTATATAGGATTGTCTGAATATAGAAAAAATATGAAGAGATATAAACTAAGTTGTTAATATGAGTTACCTGGGGGCAGGGACAAAAGGGCTACTAATGTGGAGGAAGGGATAGAAGTGTTCACAATAATAAAAAGATATGTTATGATCCCACTTCTGTGAAATAACACACACACACACACACACACAAAGGGATGATCACCAAAAAGCTATGGTGGCTATTTCAGGATGGTGGGATTTTTGATGACCTTTACTTTCTTTATATTCTAACATACTGCATGATAAAATAATTTGCATACATTAATTATATAATCATCAAAACTTTTCATTAATAAAAATATCTCACTAAAAAAAGTCACATAGGTTATATATTTAGAAAATGTGGTTATCTATGTGGTTACCTGTACAGTGATGCAATGATCTTGAAAATTCAGTTCATGCATATCTGTATCAAGATTACATGTATATATTCTTATTTTGACCTTTTCTTGTGTTATACTATTTTTTAAAATATATACATGCTCTTCAGTATATGAAAATGGTAGCTATCAAAATGACAAAGGGACTGGGAAAACACTGATAGACAAGAAAAGCAGAAACACAGAGAGAGCCAAAATGAGGATCCCCTCAACACACACAGGGTACATTCAGGGAGGAACAGATGCTCATTCCAGGGACAACCACCTCAACACATCAGATAGACACAGTACTTTTACAAGTGAGGAAACATGTTGAAAAGTCCTTTGTCAAAGGTCATATAATTAATGGCAAAAAGTGGAAATAAAACAAAGAATTTGATTTTTCCATTATTGATCTTCACAAACATACCTGTAAAAAAAAGAACTCTCTAAATTCTTCCCTTTTCTTACCAATGAAAATATTACAAATTGTAATCTATGCTATAACTTAGAGTAATAAGTTACATTAAAACAAATGAATATACCACAGAAACAGGTATCTTGAACTTGGCCAATCAACAGGTAAACTTTTCCACTTTTTCTCTTTCACATATACATCAATCAGTTGCCACATCAAGGAGAAAGGAGTTTAAGATCAGCTGGATCTAGGACTAGGATTTCATCTACTCTATGTCTCTGAAACCCAAAAAAGCAGTTTGATAACTTCTCTGCATCTTTAGACCTGGCACTGCTCTAGGAATTATAACCAGCCCATGTGACTAGAAAACCAGCCCATTTTAACCTCTGTTTAAAATTCACTTCAGTCTCAGGCTGAAATTTTGTGGGAAGGAGCTAGTACAAGATCAGAGGGATCTGCTTGGCCACACATAACACCAGACATTTGGTAACTCCATTAGCCACATCATTTAACTGCAATAATTTGCAGCATCAATTTTAAACTCAGGTGAGGGCAAGCCTTATGAATAGGGAGAAGCTACCTGTATGAGAAGCACTAAACAGAGTGCTTGATCTAACTCCCATCATTCCTGCAGGAGAGATGCTACTGGAAGGGGAACTGTGACAGCTCAGAGGGACAGGCCCTGGAGGAAGGGCCTGCAAAGAAGTGAAAACTATTCAATGTTCACTTCCATCTTTAGGCATAAAGCCTCCCTTCTTGAGGTTCAAACCATTCAGCCTCTTATCTTTCATGGCCATCTTTAACAACCTACCTGGCTGTCATTTACCCTCATTCCTTTAAAGCTTTGGCACCAAGTTTATCCCTAATTCCACATCTTTATTAAGTTCACCACTCCACCTCAGCCACCCATTCAGTATCCACACCAGGAACAGTGCAACACTTTAAACATTCTAGGCTCTGACTATAACCTCCAACCAAGATTTCTCACTTCATATCTTCCATGTAATTGATTCTTTAACCTCATCAGTATCACCACTCCATAAACTCTTCTACTTTCTCATTTTTTATGAGCTATCAGCTGCCACCTAGCTTAACTTCCTCCCCTATATAGCTTACATTCCATTGTCCAGGATTCAAACACTGTCTTGTCAACATCCTCAACTCCCTTGACTAATGTTCTTTCTCTTACCCACTTAACAAAACCCTAACCTTATTCTTTTTCTCTATGTCTGCAATCAGGCTGTAGAAAGCTGCAGCATAAAAATCACGGAACTCCTAAGTTTATGGGGGCAGACTGGTACCATCAGTCTGGTGCTTCTGTGATGCCTGACAATTCTATAATTCCCTGCTCAGTTCTCATCTTAAACATCCAACTATTTTATTACCCCTACCACATCTAAATAAAAGACCTGTCTTTCCTATTTCTCAGATAAATTTGAAGCAATCAGAACAGAATATTCTTAATTTCCAGCTACTAGTAAAATTTTCTGAATTTATAACTGTCTGTTTCCCTTCTGCCACAATGGAAGAAGTATCTCTCTTCCCTGTTAAGATTAATTCTCCATTTGAGCTCTGGATTCTATTCCTTCTAGTCCTCAACTCTACCATCTACCCTCTTAAAAAAAATAAGCAAAAAACCCTCTGACCCTGTGTTCCCATTTAGCAAGTGCCCTATCTTTCTCCTCTATATAATCAAACTTCTTAAGTTATTTATATTCACTCTTCCTACTTCCACACTCCCACACATTCTTAAAGTCAATGAAATCTCGTTTTCATCACCACCAATCCACTAAAACTGATCTTACCATATTACCTGATAAACCCAATGGATATTTTTGAATATTTTCTTTTCATTTTATACTTCACAGCATCTTGGCATTCTATCACTGATGGTGTTACTCTTTCTTAGTAAATAAAATATTAATATGTGTTACAATTAATGGCATCTTAGATTTTACAAAACAGGGCATATTATTTAAACAGAAAAATGATAATGTTATGTAACTATACAACAACAATGAAGATAAGTGAGAGGACAAAAGTAAACCCAAGTTTTAAATGAGCGACTACTGCTGGTTTAGGGTTGACAGATAAAATACAGGACACTTAGTTAAATTAGAATTTCAGATAAATAGCAAATATATTTTTAATATAAATACATTCCATGTAATATGTTGGACATACTTATGTTAAAAAATTATTCATTTATCTGAAATCCTAACTGGGTATCCTATGTTTTTAATTACTAAATCTAGTGACCCTATTATGGTTAAATATACAAAAGTACCCACTCATTTTACAAAGGTATTACATAATTAGAACTTTATCTTATGTGCTCACCCTGATATAGGAAGGAAGCATAGAAGCAGCAATATACATTGATATGTAGAGAAAAAAGGATTGTATAACTGTTTCAATATTACCATAGAAATTTAAAAATCCTCATAAAAGTCTAGAATATCCTTGAAATTTACAATCTGACCTATTTTCTTACCTCAGCATAAGCTTTGGCCCATGTACTTGCTAATTGATGTAGATCTACTTCACCTGATTTCACAGCTTCCAGGGATGCCTCAGCATCTCTATCATAATCTTGGAGGGATTCTTCTTCTATAAACTGGCTCAGAGCTTCTTTTAAATCTGTAACAAGGACAGACAAAAAATGCCATTATCAGCAAACTCCAGACATAAATAGGAAACATTTTACCTGGTTACACATTCCAATGTGAAATTTTTTTTTCCTTTTTTGAGACAGGGTCTTGCTTTGTTGCCCAGGCTAGAGTGAGTGCCGTGGTGTCAGCCTAGCTCACAGCAACCTCAAACTCCTGGCCTCAAGCAATCCTACTGCCTCAGCCTCCTGAGTAGCTGGGACTACAGGCATGTGCCACCATGCCCGGCTAATTTTCTCTCTATATATTAGTTGGCCAATTAATTTCTTTCTATTTATAGTAGAGGTGGGGTCTTGTTCTTGCTCAGGCTGGTTTCAAACTCCTGAACTCGAGTGATCCACATGCCTCGGCCTCCCAGAGTGCCAGGATTACAGGTGTGAGCCACCACGCCCAGCCTTCAATGTGAAATTTTATTTTACCAAGCTTATACCCTTAATAGAATCTCCAACTAAAATAAAACCAGATTAGGGAACCATTTAACTAATTTACAATAATTTTTCTTTACTATTACGGATAACTGCATGGAGGTAAAAATTCTTAACTCTTATGTATAACCTTGATACTAATGAAATAATATTACTTTCTTAAGCCTGATACCTCAGTTTGAAGCTAAGAAGTAGGTAAAGGACATAAAGAAAAATCTACAGATTTTGAGAGTATGAACATTACTGTATTTAAATAAAAAAGAATTTTCTATATAACTTTAAAGGGTACATTGTTACATCCTTTGAATTTGGAAGAGAAGTTGAGTGACTAGCATATTAAAACGGACTTAACTCAAATGACCTATGATTTCAATTTCAGAGACACCAATTAGATACCGATACAATGGAAATAGCACTGGGTGGGAAGTCAGGACATCTGTGTTCCGTCTTTGGTTCTGTCACTATGTTTGTCACTTTAGACAGTGGTTCACAATCTGGAATGTGCATCAGAATCCCCTGAAGGCCTTGCTGAAACAGATTGAACAGACTGCTGCCTGTCACCCCATGTTTCTGATTCAGCAAGAATTGGATGGGGCCTGAGAATTTTCATTTATAACAAGTTCCCAGGTGATGTTGTTGCTGCTGATAAGGGACCATATTTTGAGAACTACTGCCTTAAGTAAATAATTTAACTTCTTTATGCCCCAGTTTCCTTGTTTGTATGATATCATTATGCTATAAAGTTTCTAGGTTCCCTTCTAATTACAACCTTCTATGATCTAACATACTCTCAATTTTAAGTTTTTTCCTATTCTGTGAGATACAACATAGACCTTTCAAAATGGTTAAATACATATCACTTTATGGAATTAATTTAGGTAAGCAAAGATTATTCAAAGATTAGTACTCCTATTCTATGTCATCTCAGGGATTGATGACTAGAGAATTAAAAGAGCAACCAATTTAGCAATATAATTCCATAATACCATAATTAGTGATGGCTGAAATGCCTTTTGAACCCAACCCAACTAAATTCAAAGGTTAAGAGTTCTAATCCAGACTTTTTAACTAAGTTTTCATTATAAAATCTAATTTTTATGCTATTGCTTTATAAACAGGGTTATAGGAAAAACCAATAAAACAGAAGTCTGGGGAATCTTTTATTCTTGGAAGCAGTTAAACAATCCATATTTTATGGCTGTTTCCAGTGCCTCTTAGGTTTATGCTTTCTAATTAAAAACTTCTAAAAATAGAGACTATAGGAAAATAATAAAGTGGTATTAATAAAAAAAATCAGTCCTCACCATTTTCTATAAAGCACGGTAAACTGTGCAGCAGCATCAGGCGTCCATGCAAATGACTGGCATTCTCTTGAACAGGAAATTGGAGTGGCATCCTCAGTTCTAAACACTGACTTCCTACTTTGAATTTATACACAAATTCCCTCTCTCTGTTGCAGAATCTTTCTCTGTTTTTCTTCATACTCCTTGACGGGATTTCTACAAAACTAACAGAAAGAGCAATAGGTTCTAAGTCCATTAAAAAACAAGATTTTTTGTTATTGCTGTACCACTTCTAAGAAAATGTTCCACCACACAGAGATTTTATTTGTGTGACTCTGAGACAGTTATTCTAGTTTTTTTCCAAGTGTTTATCCCTGTATTGTTGTTTCTTTTTTTTTTTAATGAAAATACTATTTCTTTTAAACTTCATTTAAGAAAAAAAAATTACACTCTTAAAGTACTTGTATTCCCAGGCAGGGTTCTCGATAATAGGACAGGAACATGGAAAAGAGAGCAAAGAGGATGCTTAGGAAGAGAAGCATAGATGGGCAGATACAGAAATTATGAAATAGTAGGTGAAAACAAAGTCGAAGAAGAGATCAGGGACAAAGAAATGATCTTGGAGATCTTAGAGGTGTGATCATGAGATCTGTTTGGGGAGGGTGGTTAAGAAAGTGGTAGAAAGATTTCCATGTGGGAAGAAAATATACAGAAAATAAACAGTACAGAATGATCCCCACAAGGCAAACTGAACACAATACGGAAAGAAGAAAATCTAGTTAAAGGGAATGAGAATCAAGATCAACTAAAGATTTATTTATTCACCATTTTCCCCCATCACATCAGTTCTCACATTATTCTCTACACTGAAGTCACAGTAATCTCTCTTTAAAAAAGCAATATGTTTATCTAATCATGTTGGTTATCTGCTTAAAACCTATGACATTTTGTTGTTCTCAGTATAAAATGCAAACTCCATAACCCAGTTGACAATGACCCTGCTTATATCTCCAGACTCTCGTTTTCAGCAACTGCACCCCTTCTTCCCAACACATCAATTTTATTTTCCAGCCATACTGAACTTCTGTCAATACCAAACCTCTCTTTCCACTCCCAACCCTTTTGAACACCTTTTCCTTTGCCTAGAGCACTCTTACTGGTTTTAATTTCCTTGGATAACAACTACTCATTCTTCAGGTCTCAGTTTAGATAGCCCCCAGGAAAAGTTTTCTAACTCCCTAAAACTGAATTGGTTCCCCAGTACTTATCTGAATCATGGCACCTATTATACTCTATTTTTTACTCTCATTAAAAAAACAGTCTACTTGAAGTGGGAGGAATTCTGTCTTGTAGTATTCCATGTGCCAGGCAGGGAACATAATGGCAACAGCTAATGAATATTTGTTGAATTGTATGGTGTTTGTATTTTATGGTGCTCACTGGTAAAATAAAGAAGAGAACAAGCAATTATTCATACGGTTCTTTAAAAAGAGGTCACCTACAATATAATAACTCAGACAAAGAAATTTTTGAAGAAGGGGAAAGGCTGATGAGTTGAATTATCCAGATTATATTTTCAAATTTGCATGTAGGCTTTACAGAAAAATGTTAATCTATTTATTATACCATAATGCAAAGAGATAGAGTACTTACATTTTACTCACGGAATTAATTGAATAACACTTATTAAATGTAAAGCAATGGACATTTGCACAACTCTAAAAAACCACCGATTCCATGTAGGAAATATCTATTCTATGATGCAGAAATTCGACTCCTAAGTATATATTCAAATATGCGCACACACACACATATGCATATGTTTACTAAAATACACATAGAAGGATGGTCATAGAAGGCAGACCCAACAGCTCTGGTTTCAAACATTCGGCTCAACATTTAGACTTGTGTTTCAATAAATTGATATTTTCAAGTTCCTTTTCCCCCTACTCGGTTTTTTTGTTTGTTTGTTTTGTTTTCGTTTTTGTTTTTGCTAATGATCTATTCTGAAGACTTGCCTCAGCTTTGGCAACCGTGAGATCAAAGGTTTCCCCGTACAAAAAACGGGATTAGAGGAGGGTTGGAACGAACACACACAGCCGCAGAGCGGAGGCTCCGAGGCTCACATTAGGAACAATGAAGGCAGCCTCCTGGGCTGAGAAGCTCCAGCTGAGGGAGGCACGAGCCCCTACATTAGGCGGTTTCAGTCTGAACGGGTGCCCCACTCTTGTTTCGGGGCTCATCTCACCTAGTGCCAGAGTCCTGAGCTGTCCGCACACTCGGAACTGTCAGCGAGTTGGCCACAGAGAACCTCCGCTGACCTACCGACTTGTTTTTACAGCCAGAGGATTCGCCACGGCAGATTCGTCCCCACGTTTTTCTCTTTCTGTCACCCTACAGAAAACTCCTCAGTCCATATGCCCCCTTTTTCAGCCTGCTTCAATTTAATAAAATTTTTAACAGTGAAAGACAGTGTGTTTATACTGTTCTTGTGTATTTCGGAGACAGCGCAAGAGCCGGTGTTGTGACGAAAGTGCAGCAGTAAGCACAAACTCGGCTCCGGCGGACCGGATGCAGAAGAGCGAGGCCTTGGGCAGGGCGCACGCGCAGCCGCAGGGATGGCTGGCTGGTAGTGATTGGAAGCCTGGCGGCGGAGGGCGGGGAGCACCGGGGTCTGGTTTTGGGCGGGAACTGAAACTGCCACTGCTGCCTACAATATCTTGAGAGCCGCAAATTTCTAACCTTGAAAGGGGACCATGGTGCGACCTGTGAGGTGGGTAGTTCATAACACCCGGCAGGGTGGGAAGAAAAGCACATGAAGATGCTGTAGGCAAGGTCTACACAGGATCAACGGGAAAGGGCGGAGTAAGACCGGAGGGCAGCGATGCGGCGTGAGGGGTGGGTGGTTATTGGAAAACTCCGGAGTGTCCACTGAGGGCCGCCCATTGCTCAGAAGTATCCTAGCATCCTAGCTTTTTCCTTCTCTTTGCCTCCTTTGCAGCTATTGCCGTTTCTTTTACCCATCCTATTCCAATAAGACCTTGTTACATTAGCTTTTGAATAGCGCTTTACACTTGAGCAGGTATTCCTGTTTTATCGATTTAAAACTCCGAGGCGTAAAGGCCAAGATACTTGAGTTGCACAGCTAGTATACTTAAACCTAAGTCATCTGAGTCCAGATCCTCCATTTACTATTTGAAACTATTCCTTTACATTATCACAGTTGAGTGCCATGGAAGCCTAGGATCAGCCATTCATTTAGTGAAGTTACTGAATATATTTACTTCTATGCTGTACTAGGTGCTGGAGGTTACATTCCAGTGGGAGGTGAGGCTAGGGAGCCAAAAATCATTGAAATGTGGTAGAATGGGAACGAGAAAAACCCTATTTTAAATAGAGTAGTTACAATGTGCTTCTCTGAGGAGATAATATGTAGTGCCATATGAATGACAAGAAGGAGCTAGCCAGACAAAAATATGGGCAAATCCAGGTAGAGGAAATGAGTGCCAAGGGAGAGACAGACTAATGCTGTAGCAAGTAGTGTAGAATGCAGTTTGGATTTTATTCTAAGATCAATGGGAAGTCAGTGGAGGGTTTTAAGTAGAGGAGAAAAATCTGATTTTGCTTTGATAAAGCTCACTGGCTGCTATTGGAGAATCATTGGGGCATGGGGTGATCAGAATGGGAGCAGAAAAACGAGTTAGGAGCCTATTATACCATTGGATAGTGGTTTGGAGTAAGGGGTTATCAGTGGACATGGGCTGGAACAGATGAATTTGGGATATGTTTTAGAGGTATTGCTGATGGAACTTGGTGATGAAGTATGAAGTGGTTGTAGAGGTAAGGGGGAAAAATCAAGGATGATTCCACAATAATTTTGTTCTGAACTACTGAATGGATAATTTGTGTATTAACTGTGATGGAGACAACTAGGAAAAGGAACAGGTTCAGGAGGTGTAGGGGATCAAGATCTGTTTCAAACTTGTTAAATTTGAAATGGATTTGAAACATCCAAATAGCGAAGCCATAATCCCTTTGTCTTGAACTGCAGAATTGTTAAAGTATGGTCTGCAGACCTCTGGGGGGTCTTTGAAGGCTTCTTGGGAAGTCTGTGAGGTCAAAACTCTTTTCATAATAATACTAAGACATGATTTGCTTTTTTTGTTTTTAAATTTTTTTTTTTTGTAGAGATGAGGTCTCATTATGTTGCCCGGACTGGTCTTGAACTCCTGGGCTCAAGCGATCTTCCTGCCTTGGCCTTCCAAAGAACTGTTGTTATATGCATGTGAGCCACCTCACCCAGCCCGAGACATGATTTGCTTTTTTCATTACTCTGTCATTTGCACTGTCATTTGCTGGCACCTCAGCACAAATGAAGGCAGTGGCACCAAACTGTACTAGTAGTCACTATATTCTTTACTATCACACTCTGAAAGAAATAAAGAAAGTTTCACTTAAGAATATGCTTGATAAAGCAGTAGGAATTATTACAGTCATTATGGTTCAACTCTTGAATATATTTTTCTTTTTAGTAAGCTTTTGATTTTAAATGAGTATCCATATTTAATACAGCTCTCAAATTCTTTAACTCTGAAGAGCAGAAGAGTAACATGAGTACGTTTCTTTTTAACATTTTATGTGAGTAAATGGGAAGTACACATAAAGCACTTCTACATACCGAAGTATGATGGTTATCTCAAGGAAAAGCACTTGTGAAATTGAGTTGTGAGCTGAACTAGCCTCTTTTTCATAGAACACCATTTTTATTTAAAAGAACAACCTACTGAGAAACTAGGTTAGTCACACTTGAGCATTTGGCAAAAGATAGAAACGAAAACTAGAAGACTGTTTTATTTAGTGTCTAGAGGAGGGAGGAAGAAAATAACTTTATTATTATTTTTTTTAACTTTGAAAAAGTAGTACAGGTTGAACGTTGCAAATTTGAAAATCTGAAATCTGAAATGCTCCAAAATCTGAAACTTTTTGAGTGCTGGCATGACGCGCAAAGTAAATGCTTATTGGTTCATTTCAGATTTGGGATACTCAACTGGTAAATATAAAATGCAAATCTAAAATCTGAAAAATTCCAAAATTTGAAATACTTCTGGTCCCAAGCATTTCAGATAGGAGATATTCAACCTGTATAAAGATCTGTTTCCAATGGCAGGAACAAAGTCAATCACCATTTTCAGTGTCCATTCCATAAAAACATTATTTGGTATTATGGAGAGAAAAAAAGAAAAAGAAATGGCTTTTTGTGTCAAGAAGTTTATGATCTAATAAGGCAAATAGAATGCACCTATAAAACAAAAGAATACAAACAACAGAAACTTATAAATGCCCAGTAGCAATTAACAGTATATAAATTATAAGTTAATTAAATGGATTATTTTTACTTTGTGAGTTATTTGAATTCATTTTTTTTCCATATAAGGTCTATCAGATATAGTTATAACTATTTCAGCTAATGCTAAATCCTTGCTGTAAAAATGTAAATCATGTTTTAGATTTCAGTATTTTTGAGAGAATTCAAACACATTTTCATTTTTTCATGACTGTTAATACCCTTAAGGAATGGAGGTGAGAATTGACATTTGTGTTAATGAAAAATTTCTGTCTCGATCATAGACATAAGAAACCAGTCAATTACTCACAGTTTGAGGACTCTGACAGCGATGGTAAGTAGAACTTTTTATTATTGTTTAAAGTTTTGGAGATTTATTTCCTCAGAATTTATACAACATATATAACTTGGATATTGAACATATTCCCCAAGTGTATATGAGATAGATCTAGAAAAGTAATTTTCTAAGTATTTGGGATAACTCTAATAATTACACTGACAAGATTATATCGGCAAGTGATAAATGAACTAGGCCAGGAGAATATGGCTCTGTGGGTCTAAACTGCTTCAGGTCTGTTTCTCAAATTATGATCTGTATCCTCTCCCTTCCCTGTAGAAGGAACACATTACATTGTCTTTTTGAGATACAAATGTATTACAGAATATTAAGTAAAATATCCATTAATTATATTATAAAACAAGACCTTGAAGAAAGGTTAAGCTTAAGCTATGCCATATCAGTTATATATTTACTCATCTCTGTTCTTAAGAGAACTGTGATTGAAAAGTTTGAGAAACGTTGCATTAAATTACATTATACTGTGAAGTGGGTTTTATACTTCTTTCTCAGATCACCAGAGTTTTCTGCAAATATTTAATAATTCCTAGGTTTGAAAGAGTTTGTTTTTGGCTTGGCCACAGCCTTAAGTATGTCTATCGCTTGGGAGAAAATAGTATAGAATGTAACTTATGGCTTTTTATTGCTGTCATTGGTCTGTCATCAGATGTTTACAAATTACCAGTTGTGTTCTGAACTATGGGCAGTGAGGGTATTATAGAAAGTCATGTTACCATATTCCTACATGGGGAAGCATAAGAGACAGTATATGTTAATAAATGCTGAAACATGTGATTAAGACTACATGGACCCTGAAGGTATGTATATATGTGTCACTTATGTTTTGAAAGTCATAGCAGCAGTTTTATGTTGAGTGTCAAGAAAAGAACTACAACAGTTCTGAGGAGTTCTGTGGTAGCACAGAAAAACCTGTGAGAAACAGTAATGGTCTGAAAAAGAATAGCCGTTTGCCAGAAATTTAAGAAGTTACTTTGGTAGGATCATAGGAAGGTTTTTATGTTAATGGAGTTTTCTAATGGTTTTACAAGTTTTTAATTAATAATTTTTTCTTTGATGTTTATATACTACCTTCATTGCCTTTGTAACAAAGTTTCTTAGTGAATTGGTTTTTGATAGATTGATATTTTTAAAAATAAAGGACACCAAAACAAAGAGGAGTTAAAGTAGATGAGTGAAAATAAAGACAAACAAAATACCAATAATTTTTAAATTATGGAAATTAAACAAATTGCTTAACCTATAAAATTCAAACACATACTAATGAATTTCAAGAAATGAATATAATGAATACTAAGAAAATTTTTTTCTTTTATTTTGAATTCATATATGAATAGATGATTTTGTTTCTGCAACTGTACCTTTAAACAAGAAATCCAGATCACGAGAGTTAAAACAAGACAACCCAAAACCTAACTTGAAGAATCTCCAGAATGAGGACATCCCACTGCAAGAAAAAACCCCTAAAAAAAGGTGAGAGATAAGACATAGGGTAAATATATGAGATTACATGTGTTAATTTAAAAGACACACAGATTTGAACCTGGGTTTAAATTAGAACTTGAGCAGAGTCATAGGTTATATTTTATTAGTGCATGTAGGAAAACAGGGATGAACTACTAATCTCCTTCTGACTTTCTGACTTAAAAAAGAAATTCATAAAGAATAAGGAAATATCATTTAAATATTAAGGCTATAATAATTATAGAGTTTATAAGTTGTGGCTGGCTTTTGCTGGACCCAGCACCTGTCTCTGAAATCCTCAAATCTTATAAGACTTCTTTGTTAAAAATTACATTTGGAAGGACAGTTTTAAAAAATTTAAAACTGTATATTTTCTGCAGATAAAATATTTTTCTTCTTATCTTGTTGAGATTTGTCCAGCAGTGAGAAGGTCATATAGTTTCTAAACATACACTGGAATTCTATTAGTTGGTACCAAGAAGGAGAAAAGAGTGAGGAAAGAAGAGACCCAAAACTTGTAGTATGGAGAGGAGATGGGCTGAAGGAGAATATTAATGAATGGAACATGGGGTATGTACTGCTACAAGTTTCTCTATGAAAAGTTAATTAGCATAGAGAAATTTACCCTATGTCATACTCTGGACTTTTTTCCTCTTTTTGTTTTTGAGCTTCTTATACTACATTTTAAATAGAGGGAAAAACAACCCACAGATGGGAGAAAATACTTGCAAATCATATAACTAATAAGGGACTTGTATCCAGAGTATATAAAGAACTCTTAAAACTCAACAGTAAAAAATCTAACCCGATTAAAAATGTTCAAAAGATTTGAATAGACCTTTCTTCAAAGAAGATACACAGATAATCAATAAACACATGAAAAGATGCTGAACATCATTAGCTGTCAGGGAAATATAAATCAAAACCACAGTGTGATAATACTTCACACCCACTACATGACTGTAATCAAAAAGGCAGACAATAAAGGTGTTGACAACGATGTGGAGAAGTTGGAACCTTCATGCATTGCTAGTGGGAATGTAACATGGTACAGCCAAATTGGAAAATAGTTCAGCGGTTCCTCAAAATGTTAAACATAGAGTTACTATATGACCCAGCCTATGTATATACCCAAGAGAAATGAAAACATGCCCCCACAAAAATCTGTAGTGAATGTTCATAGCAACATTATTCATAACATCCAAAAAATGGAAGCAATCTAAATGTCTGTCAACTAATGAATGGATAGTAAAATGTGGTATCCATACAGTAGAATTCATTATGCAGCTGTAAAAAGAAATGACTACTGATATATGTTGCAGTCTGGATGAACTTTGAAAACATTATTCTGTGTGAAAGAAGCCAGACACAAAAGGCCACATATTATGTGATTTTATTTATATGAAATGTCCAGAATGTGCAAATCCATAGAAACATAAAGTAAGTTAACAGTTGCTAGGAACTTGGGAAGGGGTAAATTGGGAGTGACTGCCAATGGGAACAGGGTTTCTTTTTTGGGTAATGAAAATGTTCTGGAATTAGATAGTGGTGATGGTTTCACACCTCTGTGAATATAGTAAAAACTGCATTGTATATTTTAAAAGGGTGAATTTTGTGGTATGTAAATTATATCTCAGTGAAACTATTAATTAAAAGAAATAAATTCTTCAAGGTACATCTAAGTGCTTCATCCTTTATGTAACCTTCCCTTATCTTACTGTCTTTGATTTTTCTTCCTCTTATACTCCATAGCACTTTTGACTAACTTGAATGGGAGACTTACTGTAATCTGCCTTATATGGGATAATTATTAGTATGTCTTACTTCTCTACCCTCATTAAATTGCAGACTCCTTGAGGGTACATTTAGTATTCTAGCTAGTGCAGTGCCTTGTACAAAGTAAGTGCTTGGTTAAATATTTGTTAAAGTCTAGATTGTGAGGAACAGATATTAAAAAATATAATTTTCATTGAATATAAGAGCTATAATGTATGTTAAAGGGGTGTGGGTGAGGTCAAAAGATTTCTAAGTGGAAGTGATGATTGAACCAAGTCTGTTTTAGATTGAGCAGGTACTTCCCACCTGGATAGAGCTGGTAGTAAGGAGAGACATTACAATTAAAGGGAACAGTAAGTGCAGAGGCACCCATATGCTGCTCCTGTTTCAAACATGTTATGTTATAGATAACATGACATTGTTATGTTTTAGGAGTCTTACCATCAAAGTTCAATTAATGATGATGACTTGTTTAAAAACATTTTTGTGAGGTTAGCAACTCTTAAATAGTAATTTAGGAAAATGTCAAACTTTGGTCTTTAATTGAGGTTGTTATTTTTAAAACTTCATTATTATCTGTGTGTCTGTTTTAGAATGGCTTTAGATGACAAGCTCTACCAGAGAGACTTAGAAGTTGCACTAGCTTTATCAGTGAAGGAGCTGCCAACAGTCACCGTTGATGTGCAGAAGTCTCAAGATAAAAGTAACTTTATTATCTGTATATTAGCTTTAAAATCTTCTTTATTGCTTTTGTAATCATTTCTTTGGATGGGCCTTCACAGAGGAAAGAATAAAATTTGAATACTTCGGACTATAAATAGATCAATTTGCAGAGGGTACAATTGGATTCAATCCTTTATTCAGCTGCTTAAATCTCATACAAACATATATACATCTCTGCTTAACACTCAAAGTAAGCTTGAGGACATGGACTTGAACCTGGATGTTCAAGTTGCATATTGCTTTCCAGTAAAAATTTAATTTCCTGACAAGGTGAATTGATCCATACAATCCTAATAATCCACCTCCCTTTTCTCCAAATCCAAATTAGTTGAACATGACCTAATGATGGTAGTTTTTATTATTTACAAAAGTTAAAGGTATTAATTTGATTAGCAAGCTCAGTAGACTTAAGAGAATGATTTCTGGATTTCTCTGTGGATGTTCTCCTTTGATGTTTCTGGCAACTATGATGCAGATGATAATATTCTGGAGAGGCAGAAATTATTATTCCTGGAAAAGACACTCAAACTGCTAACATGCTTTTTATATTAAATTGTTTTGGCTTAAATTCTTTCATGTTGGGGAGTATTTTATCCCATTATCTTATTTAGGGTTATAGGTGTGGGGAGGTTGTTTTTTTTTAAATCAGTATTGCCTCCTATTTAAAAATAAATGAGAGTTTTGATTAGAAGACTTTTAATAATCAAGAATCAAAGAAACTTCAAAAGAGAATTATCATGTATTATATCTAAAATTGAGAAAACAAAATTCATCTTTCTCTTATAGGACATTGTAGAATATATAGCAGGAGTTTCTTGGAAGTACCACTTCTCAATGAATACTGCAGTTTGTAGTATAGGGATTTAATGGCACCAATTTTTATCATGTCTTAAAGGCCTCTTAAAATGCTTTAGATCATTTTAAGTTACAATGAGTCCTTATACTAGTCCTTATACTTTTACTAAGCATGGATTTGCCTACACAGAAGCGGTAGTTAATATTTATTGACTGTTTCCTTTGTGTTGGGCACTATAACAAGCAATTTCCATGTAAGATAAACATTTAATCTCCTATGGTAACTCTGTGTGACACTATTTTTATCTCCATGTTATAGATGAGGAAATGAAATCTTAGGATAAGCAACTTGTCCATGGTCATAAGGCCAGTTTATGTGGTGGAGCCTGAATTTGAATTAAGTCTGATTTTCGATCCCAAACTTCTAACTATATGCTAGCCTCTCCAAGTAAAATCACTGTGCTAGTTTGAGTTTGGGATCATTTATCTATATCTAAATGCTGTTACATTTTAACGCTAATCTTCCTGTTTCTTGACATGGGTTGATTAAGGTACACCTCAATTTTCTTTCCTATTACTTATATTTAGGCATTGAAGGATGTGGCAGTAGTAAAACAGAAACAATGAATAAGTCTCCTCATATCTCTAATTGCAGTGTGGCCAGTGATTATTTAGGTAATTTTTTTTATATTAATAATGTTTTTCATCAACAATGCTGTTTTTCTAACTTTGTTTAAATTCCTAAAATTATAGCTGGAACCAAGGTCTGTAAATTTGTCAAGTCTCTTTTCATCTAGTGGCCTTTGTTTCTTTGTATTTTAGTCTTAGTTTCTCTTTTTGCAGACCCACTTTTTTCCCTGGTGGAGGGTCATGACTGCCCATGGCTCCTAGTCTATAGCAATTAACCACTGAAGAAAGGGCTGCATCTTTCCAGTTCCAGTTTGAAAATTCTTAGGAAAAGATTCTCTGTGTGGGTCTTAGGCTTATCCTTAAAGCCAGAGTATGTTGCCAGGGGACAGTTATGCTATGATTGACCCAGATTGGACTAATAAGTAGTCTATTACTAGAAGCAGGGGAGGGATGAACCTTGACAAATAAATCAACAGATATAATAGACTCTACTCTGCAGTTCTTGAAATATCAGCTGTCACAAAAAGTTTTCCATTGATTTCCATGCCTATCCTGAAGATTTAGATAAAATTACTGAGGAAGATGATGTTCATGGTGTTCAAGGGAAAAGAAAAGCAGCATCTAAAGCTGTGGTACAGCAGAGGAAGATTCTTTTGGAAGGCAGTGATGGCAACAGTGCTGATGACACTGAACCAGACTTTGCAACTGGTAAGTTACATCCTACTTCCAAATTAATTCTGTGGACATTCAGTAAAAAAGTTCTTGGAGGCCATTAATGTATCTAAATGTTACTCATTTTTCAAGGCATAGCTTAAAGTTTACCTCCTATACGAAGTTTTTTCCTCAAGTGCCACCAGTGAATTTTACTGTCCTGTGTGTCCCTGATGCTTGCATACCCCAAAGGTTTAGCACAGTGCTTTGAGAATACTGTAGATAGAGAAGAGAAGAGGTCTACGTATTAAGCTCTGGGACACTAATGTTAGAGGTCAGAAAGATTAGGAACATTCAGCAGAGGAGATAGAAAAGGAATGGCTAAAAATGCAGAACCGAGAGAGAAAGGGTATTTATCTATCCACAGGCCAAATGAAGAAATACTTCAAAGAGAAATAGTTGTTAATGACTTGTTATGTCTAATACATAACTGAGAATTAACCAATGGATTTGACAAGTCCTTGGTCAGCTTGGTAGAAATGACAGACCATGGTCAGGCACAGTGGCTCATGCCTGTAATCCTAACACTTTGCAAGGCTGAGATGGGAAGATCACTTGAGGCCAGGAGACTAGCCTGAGCAACATAGCAAGATCCTGTCTTTATAAATAATATAAAATTAGCTGGGTGTGGTGGCACATACCTATAGTCCTAGCTACTAAGGAGGCTGAGGCAGAAGGATTGCTTGAGCCCAGGAGTTTGAGGTTGCTGTGAGCTAGGCTGATGCCATGGCACTCTGGCCAGGTCAACAGAGTGAGACTCTGTCTCAAAAAAAAAAAAAAGAAGTGGTTTAAGGTGTGAACAGGAGGCATAGGATCAGGAATGTAGAGATAGGCTCAATATGAAAGGAATTACAAAGGTATCTCAAATGTAGAATAACAGGAATTGGCATCTAGGAAGGGTGGAGAAAAAGAAAGTCAGTGATGGCATCAAGGTTCCTAACCTGGGTGATTACAAAGATGAAAATGCTTATAACCAAGATAAATATATGAGGAGGATCAGGTTTTTGCAGATAAGAGAAAGTATTTTGCTGTAAGTAAATAGAGTTTGAAAGGCCAACCAGATGTCCATGAAGACTTAGCTGACGTAAATTCAGGAAAGAGGAGAAGTAACCATTACATAAATAATAATTAAAGCTAATGGAATAGGCAAAATAGCCTGTGAAGAAAAGGGGGAGGAGTCTGAAAGAATACTGGCACTGAAAGCAGCAGTTCTCAGATTTTAGGAATCACCTCAAGAGCGTGTTAAAACGCAGATTCACAGGCCTCACCTCCCAAAGAGTCCGATTCCACAGGACAGGTGTGGAGCCCAGAGATCTGCTCAGTATATATGTTCCTTTACTCAGGTGATTCCAAACCAGGTAGTCAGTCTGTGGATCTTACTTTGAGAAACACTGATTTAAGGGAGCATCAAAAAGGAGGAGCCAGTGAAAGAAGTATAATAGAGTATAGACTAAATTCTTCCCAATTTAAGATTACTTAATACAAAAAAATCCAATATAATCAAAATAACTCCTTGGTAGTTGAAGTGTCTTTTCCAGGGATAAAGATTGTAGCACTGCCAGAATATCAATATCATTTTCTGTATGCCTGTCAGAAAAATCAGTAAGCACTTCTGAAGTTATAAATTACAGTTGTACTTAGCATGTTAGCCAAATTAATTTTTTTTAAATAAAGAATTTAAAAGTTTGCTATATATGGGAATGAATCACTTGCTTTGTTTGTTGGATTTATCTAATTTATGAGTTATGTTTCTAAAGGTATGAGAGATACATAAAAAGAATATTTTGCTATTTGTATTCTAACTTTAGATGTCTCTTGAACCTTTTCAAAAAAGTATAGTTTATATGTGATCATGATTTGAATAATGACTTTGACTCCTCTGTTCTTAAAAGTAAATAGCCAAGGACTTGAATGGACATTTCTCCAAAGATGACATACAAATGGCCAACAAGCAATATGAAAAGATGTTCAACATCACTAATCATTAGAAAAATACAAATATCAAAACTACAGCTAGATATCACCTTACACCCATTAGGATGGCTACTATCAAAACAAACAAGCAAGAAAAACAAAACAAAACAAAAAAAACCCCAGAAAATAATAAGTGTTGGTGAGGATGAGGGAAAATTAGTACCCTTGTGTACTGTTTTAGGATTATAAAATGGTGCAACTGCTATAGAAAACAGTATAGTGATTCCTCAGAAAATTAAAAATAGAACAGGTTGAGCATCTCAAATCTGAAGAAAATCTGAAATCCAAAATGCTCCAAGATCTGAAACTTTTAAGTACTGACATGCTGCTCAAAGAATATGTTCATTGGAGCATTTCAGATTTTGGATTTCCAAAGTTGGTATGCTCGACCTGGTATAATGCAAATATTCCAAAATCCGAAAAAATCCCAAAATATGAAAACCCTTCTGGTCCCAAGCATTTCAGATAAGGGATACTTAACCTGTACCATGTGATCCAGCAATCCCACTTCTGTGTATATATCCAAAACAATTGAAACAGGGTCTTGAACAGATATTTGCACACTCATGTTCATAGCAACACTTTTTATAATAGCCAAGAAGTGGAAGCAACCCAAAAGTGACATTTCAGAGTTTTTCCCCTACATTGGCTTGCCTTATATAAGAAGAGAAAGGATTATTTGTGACCTTTACTAGAGAAAGAAAAGAGAAAACTGCAGCAAAGATAGGCCATCTAAAGATTCCCAAGTCTATAACTCAAGTGTTTGGGCCTTCCAGGTTTTCCAATATGGGAAGCTGATGATCTGGTATTCTGGAAACTCCATCTCCTCACCTCTAGTTTTATTTAATTTGTTTTCTCAGTTGGACCTTATCTCTGGACAAGCTTGTTAATTAGCCAGCTCCCACCATTTATCCTTTTGAGGCAAGAAAGGAATCCTTAGGATTTCTAGGTCACTGAACACATGCAATACCAGAACTATGGGCTACATAGAAAGTTTTGTCCTTACAGATTATATATTCTGAAATTTTGGAGAAACTTTCCCCACTACTTGCCCTCCCTGAACCTAGATTCTCTCAGGATTCCAGAAAGAATTACTTGAATTTGCAAGCTGCTATTTGTGACAGCCTTAATGTGATCTGCTGGCCTTTTATGACTAATCTGTATAGCACAGTAATCATTATATGAATATGTGAGTTGATTACTCTTATTTGTTTTTAAATTTTTATGTGAAGAAGATCATGACATAAGGAAATCACAGTTTTGAAGATCATAATGATATTGTTGATTTAGGTAGAGATCATCAATGGAAGGTTGATGAGGAACTTTATAATGGCAAATTCAGGCTGCCATCAACTGAACCAACTAAGAGTGGGACAACCACGCATTGTATCCTTTCTGATACAATGTAATGTGAAGTATAGAGCATCACCTATGAGGTATATCCTTGCTTGCCCCCCCCCCCAAAGTGAGCCCTAATCTAATCAAGCCTTGAGAACACAATTCCAGCTCATAGAAAATGCAAGAATAAGTTAAATAACACCATGATGAAGAAAACAGACAAGTCCAGAATGTAGGACATTCTACAAGACAACTGACCTGGCTACTTTAGCAAGTCATAGGCTTGGGGGAAAAGGGAAAAGGTATTGCTGTGTATTAAAAGAGATTAATATAGACTGGATAGAAGATTATACTTAGAAACTAGTGTTAATATTGCTAGATATGATAATGGCATTGCTGTGTAAGAGAATGTCCATGTTTTTTAAAGATGCATTTGGAAGTATGTAGGAGTATAATGATGTGATGCCTTGGATTTATTTTAATATACTACAAGAAGGAAAGGGAAAAGAAGGAGGCCTGGTACAGTGGTTCACGCCTGTAATTCTAGCACTCTGGGAGGCTGAGGCAGGAGGATCACTTGAGCTCAGGAGTTCGAGACCAGCCTGAGCAAGATTGAGACCCCTTCTCTACTAAAAAATAAAAGAGAGAGATAGATAAAACAAATATAGCAAAATATTGATAATTATTGAATCTGGATGGTGGTTTATTGCTATATACTGTTATGTAGGTTTGAAATTTTTCATATGTATTGTAATTTTTATATAAAATATATTGTTTAGATAATATGTGGGGAAAATAGTGGTTATCTCTGAGTGATGAGGTTAGAGACTGGATTTTCTTTTTCATATAGTTTACAGTTTTTACAATAAGCATGTTCTGTTTTTCATTTATTGTATGTTTTTTGCCTTAAACATTTTCTGCAATAAGCATGTATGTAATATTAAAATTTTTTTTAAGTTTTATGTGAATATAGTACTATTTACACTTAGTTTTCAGGGTTTCTATTGTTTACAAGCCATATTTACATTTAGTTTTCAGAATTTTTATTATTTATAAGCCATGGTTTTCTGATCCTAACCCCTCCAAAAATAGAGGGATCATTGGTTAGCTATCAGGTTAGGCCATGCTTTTTTCTAGATCAGCTGCAGAACTTTCCATATTGTATCACTGGCTTAAATCAGTTCCTGCAGTACAGAAAAGAGTTTGTGGGAAATAGAGGTATGTCCCAAATGAAACCAGATACAGGATTATCAGCTAAGATCGTTGTGGTGTGGTTAGTCTCTTCTCAATTCCCAATGGGTCTCTCTTCCAGAATGTTGAAGTTTATGTGATTAAGGGAATATATACTGTTATTACCATAGATGTCATTGTTTTGAAAGACTCGCTATTGTCATACTCTACCATTCTTTTTTCAAAAGTTACTGAATTAAACTGATAAAAATCTGAAGGAAAGATTACTGAAAGGAAATTGTAGTGATAGTAGTAATAGCATACAATTATATTTTGCTTGCTATATGCCAGATATTATTCTAAATGCTTTGTATATAAACTCATTACATCTACACAATAAGCCTATCACATAGGTTTGTGGTTATTCCCATTTTCTAAGTTAGGAAACCAAGTTGCAGTGAGGTTAGTGACTGTCTGAGGTCACAGGACATAAGTGGAGGAGCTAGGATTCAAACCCAGGCACCCACAGTCTCAACCACTGCAGTGTTCTGCCTTGGGAAATGGTGTAGCACAAAGGTGCACGAGAATCTGGTGCAAAAGCCGTGGATAAAGTTGAGGCAACAGAAGTCTCACTTTTTAGAACACAGATGAGGTATGTAATCTTCTGTTTTAGGTGAAGATTCTGAGGATGATTCTGATTTTGGTGAGGGTGGAGATAATGATGAAGACTTCACTATGAGAAAAAGTAAAGTTAAAGAAATTAAAAGGAAAGAAGTGAAGATAAAATCCCTGGTAGAACAGAAACAGAAGAAATCTAAATCCAAATGTAGTGCTTTGGGTAAGCTTGGTCCCAAACACTGATTTTTATAAAGAAAATGTATTTGCTTTGTTTGCTGTATTTTTCTTACCTTATCCTTTGTTCTCTTTAACATCTTGCTAATGTTCATTTCTAGTTAAAATACATAAAAGAAAGCAGGATAGGATTGGGGAAAGGAGAAAAGCAGACTAGAATACTGAGCCCTACCACCTAGGCTAGCACTTTACTATGTCATACTTTGCCTTCGTGCTCAACAGCCACCCTCTGTGGTGTCACCTGCATTTTATGGTGAGAAAACTGAGGCTCAGAGAAGTTAAATAATTTTTAGGAAACCTTACCTGTAATAAGTAAAGGGCTAGAATTGGAACCTGGGTTTTTCCAGTGAGAATCTGAGGTCTGTTCAGTGAACCTCATTTTCTCCAGGCAATTAAACAGGGAAGTTTGCGTGATTCTAATTTCATGTTTTTGTGCTTAACTTAGTCTGATTTGAGAGCTCTTTTGCCTCATGTTTGAGACCCATTTTTGGCTTTTTGTTATTTTTTCTCCAAAACAAATTGTGCTAGAAACTACTTGTACAATAAAACTTGGAATTTATAATAATTTGAACATGGAATATCTGTTTCTTGTGTAGGATATTTTTGAGTTTATACAATATATGATAGATTATCATAAAATAAACACTAACTGAATTTGTTTATTGATACCCATTTTTATGTCTCAGTTTTTTAATGTATATGCTATTTGATACTAAAAGTTCTATTATTCAAACTTTCCATTTATTAATAGAAGTTTTTCTCACCTTAAATAGCATGGTATTTAGTGCTTAATAAGCATTAATTACTGACTGAGTCATATCAATATATATTATGTACTCTGCTGTATTCTGAATAAGGTTTTAATTAGAGTGTTTTCTTAAGTTGAAAAATTCATCAATTCATCTGGTTTTCAGAAATTAGATTTTAAATACAGGGGCTTTTAGAGATAACTGAATATTAGTTTCTTATTGTTGTTATAACAAATTACCACAAACTTAGTGTCTTAACATGTACTTATTTTGCAGTTCTGAGGGTTAGAAGTTCAAAATGGTTTTCACTGGGCTAAAATCAAGCCGTCAGCAGGCTATACTCCTTTGTGGATGTGGTAAAGGAAAATCCACTGTCTTCCCTTTTCCAGCTCCTAAAGGGCACCTGCATTTCTTGGCTCATGGCCCCTTCCATCTTCAAAGCAAGCAATGGCAGGGACTTTATCACTTCATGGCACGTGACTGAATCTCTGCTTCTCACATTTACTTACAAGGGCCCTTGTGATTACATTGGGCCCATCCAAATAATTCAGGATAATCTCCCCATCTCAAGATTCTTAACTTAATTCCATCTGCAAAGTCCCTTTGCCATGTAAGGTAATACATTCACATGTTCTGACAATTAGAATGTAGACATCTTTGAGGGGCCATTGTTCTGCCTACCACAAGCTATAATATGAAAATGTCATTAACGATGTGAATGTATTTTACATTTAGGAGTTTAGACTTCACCAAGACACACGAACAACTAAAAATAAAATTTCAGTTTCCAAGTTGGAATTCACTATTTAAAGTCTTTTCTATATACCTAGAGCAAGATAGTTCACAAGGAAGATTTATTTATAATATCAGAAGTAAAATTTAACCACTAAGTAATAAGATTAAAGATTAGGAAAAATGGGTTATCTTTTAGTCCTACTAATAATGTATTGGGTAACCTTTGAGAGTCTAGCACACATCATATTTTTTCCCTTGATACAGAAAATTTTGAGAGCTGTACTGTCCAATATGGTAGCCCCTATCCACACATGGCTATGTTACATTAAAGGTAATTAAATAAAGTTAAAAATAAGTTCCTTTGTTTTGCTAGCCACATTTCAAGTACACAGTAACTATGTGGGCAGGGGCTACCCATATTGGACAGCACAAAATACATATAACATTTCTATCATCACAGACAGTTCTTTTGTACAGTGCTGATTTTATGGATATATCTGTAGTGAAAATGTTCATATTCATATACATGTACATACCCCTTAGGTATCTCAAAACAAGCATTATCTGAAAATGAATTTACGTTCTACCTTTCCTTCCTTCATTCCTTCTCCTGACCTAAAAAAAAAAAAAAAAGAAAGAAAAACCAAAACCTACAACCTACTCCCATTCTTGTGTTCATTCTCTTAGGTAAATGGCACCATAAAGCAGTGTGGCCATGACAAGAACTTGCAAGTCGTGGATTATTTCTTCATCTTCATCACTGCCTCCCTCCATCTAATTGCTAAAATATATCTAATGTGCTATTTTTCCCTTCTCTTTTCTACCTTACCTAGTTCAGCCCCTCCCCACCTCTCAGCTGATTACCATAATAGCCTTCTAAGTGGTCTACTTGCCCTACACTACCACCAGAAGTTTTAAAATGCAAGTCATTCCTTAGAAAAATTAATACATGATTGTGACTAGTCAGACACTCCTTTATGTGGTCTGCAAAGCTCTTCAGAAATGATCTGTACCCTGTCTATATCTCGTACCTATTCTATTTTTGAGACTCCCGCTCTAGCCATATTGAACCAGTACTGGTCCTAGAACTTCCATCTTTGCACGCTCTACTCCCTCTGCCTGGAATACTTCCCTCAGCTTATCTTTACGCTTCAGCCTTGACTTGGCTTAGACTATCCTCACCTCCTTCCATGCTACTTCTAAACACATACACCCAGATTATTTCCCTTCCTACTGGGCATATTTCTAGAGTCTGTCATATCCCTTATCATACTGCATTATATGCATCTCTTTATGTTCCTGTCCTTCCTACTAGAGTCCTGTGACTGGACCATAAAGTCTTTGGGAGCAAGATCCGTGAGTTAAACTCTTTGTAACCCTAGAGCTTAATATATTGTCTCACCACTGACACATACTGATGAGACACTATTGTGTAATGGTTACAAGTATGGACTTTGGAGGTACAACTGGTTTCTAATTCCAGCTCAGACACTTACTAGCTATCACACTACAGGCAGATCGTTTCTTTATGTGACAGTGGGGATAGTAATATCTGTCTCAAAGTTGTTGTAAAAGATTAAAGTGATATGCTAACCATACTACCTAGCATATAAATGCTCATAAAAGATGGCGGCTATTCTTAGGCTCTTGATAAATATAGATTTATTAATCATTTTTCAAATTTGTGATATTGCTTTTTTAATATTTTTAAGATTATGTAGCTTTATAATTTTTACATGTGCATGTTAGATTTAAACTTTGTCTTCTACATAACAAACTTTTTAATGTATATTTTTCAAATAAGTGACTTCAGTAGACTCTGCTCCAGCTGCTGTCAAATCAGAATCTCAGTCCTCACCCAAAAAGATTTCTCTTTCTTCAGAGGCCTCTAGAAAGCCATTACAAATATGCAGTCCTTCAGCTGAAAGCAAGAGACCTAAGTGGGTGCCACCAGGTATGGTATATTTATGATCCAGGTCCAGAGCTTAGAAAATTACTACTGGTAGATTTTTCCCTAGTGCTATATATGCTATATATGAACATTCTACCATATTGTTACATACTCTTCAAAACCAAAATTTCTGGTTTGCTGCATCTAATCATCTTTTATTTACCCATTCCATTATTATTAAATATCCAGGCTGTTTATGATTTTTTTAATGCTATAAATAAGCTTGCAATAAGCACAAACATCCCTATTTTAGAAATCTGTGGGCAAATTTCTGATTTATTTTCTTAGGATAAAATTTCTAGTAGAAAAATTACAATGTCAAAGAGTATAAACATTTGAGATTCCTGACATACATATATATTTTTGACAATAGATGTTTTGCTTAGGGCCTGCTGACCTCCACAGTCTGACTGAAGCCTCGGGGCCTATATGTGGGAATTCCAGCATTTAACAAATGCCCTAGCAAACTCAACCTCTGGCTCTTACAAAGTTGGCTTCTTTTTATTTTCTTTCACTCCACAGCCAAGTTTCACTGATCCTTCAAGAATTCTTTGACCTTCACCCTTCTTGACGTTACTAAAACCCTAATCTGAGTCTGAAGTTTTGCTGCCTTCCTAACTAGTCCTGTACCTACTTTCCTTCTTCCAGCTGCCTGAACCCTCTACTTCAGTGAAATTGATACACCTTTAGTCCCTCAAACACATTGTATGTGTTCTTCTGTCAGGGCCTCTCTTTATTCAGTTTCGTCTGTTCAGTATATCTTTCTTCGTGTGTTCCCTCTCCAGGTCTTTCAGATCTATCTGGTTTTACTTGACTGCTTTGAATGACTTTCGAAGTGGCCCACAGTAGCCCACAGCTAAAGATGACTGGGTATTCACAGATAGATTTAGGCCTGATCTGTGAGGCGGCATGATGACTTATTTTATCTGAGTTTTCATTTCCTCACATGAACTATCAGGAACTAATATAAGCTTTAAAGTCCTTTCTGGTTTAAAAAGTCTAAGATTTTTGATAGGACTTAAAAGTTTTTTGGAGAAGGAAAGGAGAGAAGATTAGTTCCTAAAATAATAATGTCATATCATTCAAAGAGTATCCCTTTGTATATTTCTTCCAACAATATTAGTGAATCCCCAATGAAAGAAATTTAAAAGAAATGATATGACTATACAAATTAAAAAGCATAATTAAAAATACAAAAGAAATAAAGGAATGATGGATAAAGAATTAATGTCATGAAGCACAAAGTGCTTATAGATTCAGTGCATTACAGGGTGAAGCAAATGATGTAAGTGAGTTCATTGGGCCCACGTAATAGACTTGTGTGAGTCGCGGTTGTGTTAAACTTGGGAGCTCATGCCCCTTTTGAAGGAAGCAGCTGCCACTGAGCCCCATCTGATTGTTTCCATGTGGGATTATAGACCTGGTATTTCCAGATCTGATTATTTTCAAGAGAAGCCAGAAATCCAGGTTTTAATGTGAAATCTCCTAATTTCTTAAAACCATGCAGACTAAGCCATATATCTGAGAGCTAATTTGGCCCTCAAGTTGCCAGTTTGTTAACTGTCTTATACAAATATGAGAAGACTACCAAGACCTCAAAGGGAAAATGAGCCAGGGACATAAACATACCAATGCCCCCAGGATATATAACTAGAAAATATGAAAAAAGTTTCAGTCTTACTGGTAATTATGAAAATGTAAATTAAAATAATAAAATACTATTTTATACCTCTCAAACTAGAAAGCAATAAAGCAATATAATCCAGTACCCTCTGGATTATGGGGTAGCAGGTATAATTATTTCTTTAAAATGTATAATTCCTTTATAGTCCAGCAACTAGTCATCATCAACTATGAACATTAATATGGATAAATATTGAAATTTAATATTATATGGAAATAATTGCTACATTAAAGTGATGGTCTAAATGAAACAAGTATAAATAAATAAAAACAGTATTTGCCATTAGTAAAGCTATTTAATAATTGAAAAATATTGAACCAGAAAGTGGAAGAAAAGTTAAAAAAAATGAAAAATAGACTATTTAAAGTAGTAATTATAAAAATTACAGGACTTTAAAAGATGCATTAATTTTTTTATTACTTTAGAAATTATAATTGTGTGTATTTCTTTATGCCTTTATAACCAGTGTTATTTGCTCCCAACTTTCCTATTCCAGCTTTCATGGTAAAGTTTTGGTGTCATTACCTTGGATGCTTGAAAATAGGCAATACTGTATTCTTTAGTACAGAAAGCTCTTTAGTACTTTCTATTCTTTTACTCTATTATAGTTTCTTGCTTGATAGACCCTGGAAAGCAAAATAATGCTTAATTACATTTTTTGCTTTTTGTGTTTTATAAATTAATCTTTGTTACAAGATTTCTGGCATTATCAGCATTATGTCATATGTTTTCTTTCAGCGGCATCTGGAAGTAGCAGCAGCAACAGCAGCCCACTGGCAGGAGTGTCTGTTAAGTCTCCAAATCAGAGTCTCCGTCTTGGCTTGTCTAGATTAGCACGAGTTAAACCTTTGCATCCAAGTGCCACTATCAGCTGAGTATGGTAGCAGAGAAATGTTTGATTGAGAGAATCAGTTTTACAAGTGTGTTTATATTTGAGGAGGGTATTGTAATGTAAAGGAATCCTTTAATATGTTATATAAATGATCTGTACCCATTTTATGATTGTGCTCTCTGAAAGCTATTCGAGACTTCAGTAAGAGATTTGTTAATGAGGATTATTTTATTGTGCCATTTCCTTCTGAAGAGCTATTCTATTTTCCTGTCAGTTTGACTTGGAGGAAGTCCACATCACACGCTGTTCTTTTCTGGTAATGTTATATTCCTTTCTATTTCTTTCTGGTTTGTGGCACCTTAACTTTAACTGTTCAGAGTTTTTCTGGCAAAAGGAAACGTCCCCATTTCTTTCAGGAGACATTTCTGAAATCTTATAAGCTACTTAAGCTATATTGTATTTTACTGCAGAGATGTTTTGTATTTTAGCCAAATCCTTTTACAGTAAGAATTCAGAATTATTTTATACATTCAAATGGTTCTGTATTATGGCATATGTCTTCTACTTAAAAGTAGATGGTTATTCTATAGCAAATAGAATTTAATATCATTTTATGAAATCATTCTTCATTGTCAAAACCTTTAATAAAAGTGGAAAAGTTTTGAAATGCTCTTTTTCTTGATACTATTACATCTACATTTGTGTCTGATTTTCTACATTTCATGATAAAATGAGAGCTCTGCAAAGAATGGTAGCCTTTTTGTTGTAAATATAAACAGAGGGGAAGCTGTTTCTCAAGGTAATCACTTTTTGTTAAGCTTTTGCTCTGGACAGGAGCTGTCAAGTACTTAGTCATACCTATCACGATGTTAGATAAAATAACTTTTCAGGAAGCTTGGCTCTGAATTTATTGTGAATAAAAATAGTAATGAATATTTTATATTTATGGTGAGAATTTCAACCAGTTCCTGATTACTTTTTAATACAATTTTGAAATCATGTTAATCGTTAAAAAATGTATAATATTTAACTCAGTTATTCTTGTTTTATGGAAATATCTATGTTAACATGAATATGATTTAGAATTATGATTAAAGTATTTGCCTATTACTATTGCACATTTTTTCTTATCTAGTGTATATTTTTTATATTGTCATATAGCACCTCACCTACCCCACCCACCTCACTTTTTAAAACATAATTTATTAGTTCCATAGTACTGAAGTATTCTGTATGGTATAGTTTAACAGTGAACAGCAAGCACCTTGTCTATATTATGTACTGATCTCATTGATTAATCAGTCAAGCACCAGCTTGATTAACCTGTTTTGGCTATGTTATTCATGTTAACAGTTTCCTTCTGTTTGAAAATTACCTCAAAGTATGTTAAAATTGGCCTGGCTGAAAGCAGTAATACCTTCATGTTGCCAAAGCCTTGTATTTTTCTCACCTCCTCTACACCCATCATACCCTGATTAAAACATTTTATTTCCTTGGCTCATGTGACATCTTTCTTTTGTAATTTTTCCCCACCACTCTGCCTAGTCTTCATTATTTTGCAGCTTTCTAATCTTTTGTTTGACCTCCACATACCTCTACCACAGCATCATATTCTGTGCAAGCTCCAGAGGTCGTTTATGTGACAGTGACTGCCAAATTAGGATCTTTAGCCCATACTGCGCTCTTGACACAGACCTGTTGCTGGTCTATTGGCAATTTGATGTATTAAGTCACTAAATTCAACCTCTCCCCATACCCCAACATATTCCCTCCTATGTTTTCTGTTAGTAAATAGCACCACCATCAATGCAGGGATTTTATTTATTTTTCCTTACTGCATAAATCCCTACAGGGTAACCTGGGATTTAGTCTATTCTCTCACCCTTCACATCAGTCGCCAAGCCCTATTCCATTTCCTAGATTTCTCAAAACTGCTTTCCCTTACTCTGAAACATCACTACTTCTAACAGGCATCCTTGTCTTGATTCTTAACCTACTCTGGCCTACTGTCCATACTGTTATTGCCACAGGGAGTTTTCTAAAATAAAAAGTGAGGATGAACACCTCTCTGCTTGCAGTCCCCACATTTCACACCTTAGCCTGTCTAGTTCACAAGCTACTTGGCACCTGGGGGGCCCCTCCCTGCTTCTTCAACCTTGCCTCCTCTGCCCATGTGCACTTTTGACCCCTGCCCCACCACACCGAGGCCTGGCACCAGCGGTACCAAGCTCTCCTGTGGCCCTGGGCCTTCAGACCAGTGCTTATCTGCCTTCTTTACACAGATGACTGCTACTTATCCATGAAGTCTCAAACACAACTCAGCTCTTTCAAAAAAGCAATGTCAGGCTTGGAGCCACGGCTTGGGCTAGGCAAACGCATTTCATGTAACCAAAATGTTTGTATCCCCATAATATCCTGAATTTAAAAAAAAAAAAAGCTTCAATCTCATATTTGCTTTCTCCCTAAACCAGGCTGTGTGCTCTTCAGGCCACGCTACTGTCACTCAATTATGAACTTTCCTTTCCATGCTTCCTAAAACCGGGCACAGAGTAAGCGCTCAGAAAATGTTCAGCTGAGGAATAAATTATATCCAGAACGTTGCTATGTACTTCTGGTAACCACGTGTTTTGTTTGAAGGGGGGAGAGCAGGGGTAATTGCACGTATCTGGTCTGTAACCAGCTGTGGTCTATTCCGGATTTCCTTCAGTTCTTGCCCCACACATACGTCCTTCAACGGACTGGGGCACGAGAATGGGAGCAGGAGGAGGAGAGGCGTTACTCAGGCTGATGTGAAAGGTGGTTTGGGCTGAAGCAAAACCTAAGTAAGCCCTTTCAGCTCCAGAGTCACAAAAAGGGCTGAAGTCGTTTCCATAGCGACAGAAGGAGGGCGTGGTCCTCGCTGCCCCGGGCCGGCGGCCCGAGCCTCCTGCGGCGGCGGGCAGTGGGCGCCAGGGCGCCAGCCAGATGCAGCTCCTGCCACCCGCCCGCCCGGAGCACAGTAAGGGCGCGGGGGCGCGGGGGCGGGGGCGCGGGCGGGGTCGGAAAGGCGCACGGAGTGCAAAGGGTAGACGCGGGAGCGGGTCGGGAGAGGACGGGCGAGGCGCGGCGCGCAGAGGGAAAGTGCAATTTTAAATCTTACTCCCAACAGCTGCATCCTCAGAACCCAACGTCGGTATCCTTTTCTGTTAATAGACTTGCATCGCGGTCCCCGCTGAGTGCGGGATGGGGACAGAGGGCTTCGAGGGGGACTCGTAAGACCTGCCCCGAAACTGCGTCCAGCCCCGACCCCAGCACCCCGGGACACGAGACTTTCCTCCTTCCTACCTTTGTCCTCGTCGCTGCGTGTTAGCTTGGGAGCCATAGTCGGTCCGACCGCGTCCGTGCGCTGCGAGGATCTGGCTGACAGTAAGCGGACACCCCCGCCCCGCCCCCGGGCGCCCCGGTGCCCAGCACAGCCCAGCCCTCGACACGCACCGGAGCAACACTCCTCGCAGGGTGGTACCGGCCCCCACTCTAGGGAAGTTCCTAAGATTAGCAAAGTGTTTCTTAAAAAGGAAACGAAGAATGCAAAATCTGAGGATTTTTTTTAATTCTCGTTAATTTGTGGCATTTGCTATATTTGACATGTCCACCAGCCCATTGGAGCTTAAGAGAGGAGTGACCCCTTCTGACAAGTTTTGAAATAACTAACAGCGTCACCCATTTTAATTCAAGCTTCACTGTTCAGACTTACGTGGAGATTTGGCAAAAGTAGGGCCTGTTTAAATGGAGACGTTCAAACTGTGCAAACAACAGATGGAAATGTCCTTCCCCCTGCTTGAGGGATTTGGTCACCTGCATGTGGCTAGGTGTGTAACACCTGGGAGTTCTAAGGAGTTCTTCAAACGTGGACTATGCCCAACAGGTTCTGTAATTTAAGCCTATTGTTTATCTTACCTGTTTTAGTCCTTATCAGGAGGGTGGAGGTGGGCCTGAGGGGAATCTCGGTATGCCAGCCCTGATTTTGCCTTCTCCAATCCATGCTGCTGTCTGCATTCTCCAATCCATGCTGCTGTCTGCAGCTTGGCTAGAGCGCTGCTTCTCAGCCACGTGCAGGACCCAGTGCTGGCGGTCAGTGGTCTCGCCTGACTCCAGGCCCAACACGAGCGTGTTGTGATGGCTGCAAAGAGCAAATGCTGGTCTGCGGTGCAGTAATAGAAATACGATGAGCACATGGAGGCATGTAAAGGTCTCACTGCCTCACTTAGCAGTGATTAGAACAAAATCTAGATTCTAGAAAACTGTGAACACTTTAAGAAAGATTATAAAAAACTAGAATATAGAGAGGAAAAACCACAACAGAGGCTCCCTCTGCCATACCTTGATGCTTTATCATAGGTTTGGAGAAAAACCCACAGAATGCCTGGAGATGTGTAGGTGCAGGGGAGAGCAACAAACTTTTTCTACTCAAGTTTTGAACATTCAAGAACTCTTGAGTTAAAAAAGAGGGTAGATTTGTTCTTTGGTGCTTTGCATAGGACAGCAAGGAACAGTGGGGGATATTTTGCTCAATATAATTTATTCTTCCAACAAATATTTATCAAGTACCAACCATATGTAGATTAACAGCTGAGTGTGAAATGAGTTGCCTGGAAAAACAGTGCTCTCTGTCACACAAATAGGCAACTCTAGTTGTCAGGGGTACTACAGAGAGGATTCCTGCCCTAGGTAGGAAAATGGTCTCTGAAACCTCTTCCAGCTCTTAAGAGTCGTGAGTCACCGAACCCTTAAGAATTCCAAGGATATATATGCAGAAGGGCTGAGGAATTGACTGTGGCAGAAATGAGTGTAACTTAAAATACAGTTAGAAGAAACAAGACCTAGAGTTTGATAAATCAGTAATCTATAGTAAATAATAATCTATATATTTCAAAATAGAGAATAATTTGAATGTTATCCCAATTACCCTGATTTGATTATTACACATGTATAAATGTATGAAAATATCACGTGTACTCCAAAAGTATGTACATCTATTATGGATCATTAAAAAAAGAAATGAGTGGAATGTTTAAGTACATTAAATACATGACTCCTGTTCACAGAAATGCAAAGGGAATCCCTGCAAATCCTACACTTCCACACTTTCAACCCCAAAGGCAGCCCCAAGGACATAAAGATCAAGCTACTGACAATTGCAGTCGAAGTACTGAGATCATAACAGGTAAATCTCAAAAGACCTACTTCCTGTCCAGACACTGAAGTACTCTATACATAGATAATGCATATGTATAAAACACTGAACTGTAGCAAGGCTGGGACCACTTTTGTGGGTCTGTCTTACCCTGCAGTCTTCGAATTCCTTGAAAGCAAGGATTCTGTATTATTTATCTTTGAATCCCCCATGTTTAGCACAGTAGCTAGCACACAGTTGATACTCTGAAACTTTTGATGAATTAATCTAAACCTGCTTAGATTTTTCTTCCTTCAGCAAATCTGCACCAGGAGTCATGAATAGACAAGGCATTGTCCTCACTTCTATGAGAAAAACAAAAACAAAACAAGCTCCCTATCTGTGTCCCCAAGAGACAATCAAGTGAGACAAAAATATACACCTAAGATAATTAACACTAAAGCTGGTGATCAAGTGACAAAATGAACTCCTTAGACAAAAACACTTTTGAATTCCAGAGAAAAAGATTGATTTGGAGAGGTAGGGAAACTCTGATCTACATGGAAGTTAGTGATGAGAATTTTTTAAATTTTAGAATCAGTTCTCAAAGGCACATTCACTATAGCTCTGAGCTAAATTTATTTATTTCCAATCCTTCATACAAAAAGATACAAACAAAATATAAGAAGCATTTTAGACTAGGCACGGTGGCTCATGCATGTAATCCCAGCACTCTGGGAGGCTGAGGTGGGAGAATCACTTAAGCCCACGAGTTTGAGACCAGCCTGAGCACCTGGTGAGACCACCCTGTCTCTATAAAAAATTAGAAAAATTAGCCAGGAGGCCAGAGGATCCCTTAAGCAGCCTAGGAACTTGAGGTTGCAGTGAGCTATAATGACACCAATGCACTCTACTAGCCCAGGTGACAGAATGAGACCCTGTCTCCAAAAAAAAAAAAAGCCATTTTAATTCTTTTCCATATAGTCCACCACATATTTTGAAGATAAAAAGTGGCACCTGCAAAGCTTTTAGTAGGGGTTGTTATTGTTAGAAGCCAGATTGAAAACATAAAGAAAGAAAGACACAAAATCTTTGATAATCACAGAATTATCCAAGGGGTGACAATTATGGAATAAGTCACAACATAATTTTTTTTCAGTCTGACAGTATTTTCATAGAATTAGAATTGAAGAAATTTAGAACCAGAAGGGACTTTAAAAGTCACCTGGTCTAGTCTTGTCATTTTATAGACGAGGTAACTGAGCTCAGAGAGGACACTCACAGTCACGGCACTGTTTGTTGCACAGCACCAAGACTCATTACCAGCCTTCCTTAGCATTTTCTCCAGGGCTTATGCCTTCTCTTTACCTGGAGAGCTGCCAGAACTGAACAGAGGAAAGCTTGCCAGCTGTCTGGAGCAATGCACATTTATTTTCATACTCTTCTACATCACTGTGAAGTGGATGAAGGGAGCACTTGATGCAGAGTCTTGGAAGGAAAAATCATTGTGTTCATATCTCCCGTGTTGAGGTTTTACAGAGCCCACATCCAGTTGACAGCCAGAACTCCACCTGCGCAGTCTCCTGAATCATTCCCAAGTTCATACTTCCCCTCTCTCCTTGCTGTCGTTGCCTTGGGTGAGGTCCTTATCTTCTCTTGCCTAGACACCCAGAATGGCTTCCTGAGTTCCTCCAAACTGCGCCCGTGGGACTGTGAGAGAGATGGCTCTAAAATACAAATCCGATCTTTTCAGCCCCAGCTTAGCATAGCCAGGTAGGCTCTAAGACTCTAGGCTGGACTATGTGACCCTTAACAATCTAACCCACCTCTCTGGCCCTCCACCAGCAATATCCAAGGACTATGCTAGAAATTTCTGGAAAAGGCAATGTTCTTTCATACTTTTGTTCTTTGTGCGGCCTCGTCCATCTGCTCTTGACTCTGTGGCTGCCCTGCCCACCCTTCAAGGACAGTTCCACGCTACTCGGATGTGCAGGCTTCCTCATCTCTGCCAGCAGGGTTGTCACCTCCTTGATGTGTGCTCCCTGAGCTCTCTGCACGTGCCTCTGTTAATGCACTGGTCACATGCATCGCCCTGGCCCATTTCCGTGTGTCTCCTCTCCTGGATAACTCGGTCTCCGTGAGGGCAGAGACCATGTCAAGAGGTGAAACTATGATCATTAGCAGAGAAGCAAATATTATTAATACTTTTTGTTTGCTTTTACATAGGATTTTTTTCATATTGTGTGTGTGTAGTTTGTGTATGTGTGTGTGTTAAAATTAATGTCCCCACTCACCTCCTTCAGCCCTGCTCCTCAGAGATAATTATTTTCATCTTTCACTTTATTTTTATTTTTTATTAGAGTAAAATATACATATATAATTTACAATCTTTCTTATTTTTAAATGTACATATTAGTGACAATAAATATATTTATATTCTTTTTTTCCTCCCCTCTTCTCTTCCTCCCCCTACCTGTTCCCCAGAGTCTGGTAACCATCAGTCTAGTCTCTATTTTTATGAGATTCACTTTTTTTTTTTTTGGCTCCCACATATATATAAGTGAGAACATGCAATATTTGTCTTTCTGTGCTTGGTTTATTTCACTTAACATAATGGCCTCCAGTTCCATCCATGTTGCTGCAAATGACAGAATTTCATTCTTTTTTATGGCTGAATAATATTCCATTGTGTGTATTACCACATTTTCTTATCCATTCATCTGCTGAGGGGCACATAGGTTGATTCTATATTTTGGCTATTGTGAATAGCCATTTTTTAAATGACTGCATCGTTCTATAGAACGCGTGTGCCATATTTTTAAACTTCCCATTCTAGATGGATAAGTAAGTTCTGATTTTTCAATATTTATGCTGCAACAAATGTTAGCACGACTTTTCTTCAATCTTCTGAATAATTTCAGAATTGTGGTGCCATCGTCGTTTATTATAGTGTCTGGAAGAGCCTGCCAATGGAACGATTTGCAAACACTTTTGCTTGGTCCCTGTTCTGCTGCTATTTCCTGTGATTCTTGATCCCTTCAGCACTTGCTAGGGTTAGAGGCTGAAAAGGTCTTCCAAGGGATATTGAGCAGACGAAGTTTCATCAGTGCTCTGCTATGTGGCAAAGAGTGTAAGTGTCCCGAGAGCCCGCTAAGACACAACTTCCACGTATGTAAATCGCAGCTTTAACTACATCCCATAAATTTATGCACGTTTTTTCCTTTTGCAGTGAGTTAATTATTCATAGAGCTGTGCTGTGAATGAAAGTGCAAACATGGCTGAATGAGGGAAAGTGTCTCTGCCCACTCTCCCCCTTTCCTTGGCTCTATAGCATTCGACTGTCCAGGTAGCCCAAGAATATGCCCGTGTTGTGAGGGAGCATTGTGACTGTGGCGAGAGAATGAGGTTTACTTTGCAGTCAGCCAAGGGAAATGGGTCTTTTTGCTTGGCGTCTTGAACAGCTAATACCTGGTTATCTCTTCCTCCTTCCCTGGCTCCACTGTCTCCCTCTGGCCTCCTGGCCTCATCTGACCACCAGAAAGGAAGCAAGGGAAAAGCAGGGACCTTGCTCCGCTGCCTTTTCTTCGAGCCTGCCCTGCTTGCTTCTGTCCCTGGGCATGTGGGCCCTTACTTACATGCGACTCCTACTGCCAATGTGTTTTCTCCTCTCCCTCCTGCAGGATTCAAATGGATGCCAAAAAATCAAGGAAACGCATTTTGACTTCCTTCCCGATTTTGAAAGCAAGAAAGAAACAGAATTTCACCTCTGTAAAGGTAAAAGATCCCTGAATTTCTGCTGGGGAAGAGAGGTGTCATCGTGAAGACTTGGGGAGCCAGGACCCAGTGGTGATGCTTGTGCCCCAGAGGCACCGTTGAGCACAGCAGGAGGGGACAGGTGTGGGGGCCACACTGGTTGGCAGAGCCAAATCTTGGTGGGATTGGAGGGAAAGCAGCTGGAGGGCAAGGCCTTATCCAGCAGGTGACTTGTATTCGGGGAGCCCTTGGCGAGCAAATCCACAGTATCTCTTACTCTGCTCTGTGTGTTGGGGACCACACCAGAAGTATCCCAGAGTGTTGTGAATAAGTTCTGAATTCAAAAACATTTCCAGAAAAGGACTGTTTGGTTTTTTTGTGTTTTTTTTTTTATTTCTTTTTTCTAACACACACATGGTGTCTTTCTTTTTATTCTGCCTCAAAAACTAGTGGAACACCAGAGCTCTGGAGGTAAGTGTGTGATATAATGCCTTTGTGATTACCATCTGTGGGATCAACTTCTAAAGCAGATGTATTTTTCAGTCTAGCACTACTCAGTTTGAGTTTCTCAGCTTGTTCAAAAAATCAGATTGTTTGGGATCTTTGTCCTAAAAGTTTTACAGCAAAAAAATGCCTGAAGCATTCAGGTTTGACTTTCTGAATCCTGCTTGTATCACTGACTGGGAGAGCCAAAATCCACAGCCTACCTGAGGCCTAGTAAAAATCTCCTTCCACAGACCCCACACCACCTGCTGAAGATTATGACTGTAGGTCACCTCCTCCAAGCAGTACTCCTGATTTAACACTAGCATTCTTCCCCTCAGGATTATAGCTCACGAAAATGGATCCTAATGCAAAAGTTGTTGTCCTACCACCCCCACCCCACCATTACCACATACAACAGCAAGAAAAAGTTCATTTTGCCATTCATACCTGCAAATTTCATTAATGCCTAAAAAATATATCTATTTTCTTTTTTTCTGACTACAAAGATCCAAAAGAGGTAAAACATTTCTCTCAATAAAAATTACTATAAAATATTTGAAAGGGTAAATCCATAGCAAAACATAATAATATAATAAATATAGCATTCTGTTAGTTCAAATTTAAAATATTATGCAAACAGAATGGTCTAGGTCATGATTTTACTTTACCAAAACCATCATGAGTTTTGCAACTTGCATTTTCTTTTTTTAGCCACCTGTGCTCACATTTATTGAGGGCTGAGATGACTCTCACATGAACCTCAGAGGCAAGTGCTATCCTTGTCCCCATTTGACAGGCAAGGAAACTTATACACAAGCAAGGTTAGCTGTCCCATGGTCTTAAAGCTGGTGAGCAGAGGATGGAATTTAAACCCATATTCTTTTTTCCCCGCATATTATGGGGGTACAAATGTTAAGGTTACGTATATTGCCCTTGCCCCCCTTCCCCCCTTGAGTCAGAGCTTCAAGCGTGACCATCCCCCAGACGGTGCGCATCACGCTCATTATGTTTGCATGTATCTATCCTCATCCCCCCACCTGCCCGACACCCGATAGATGTTATTCCTGTATGTCCACTTAGATTGATCAGTGAAACCAATGTGCTGTAAACCCATATTCTTAACTGCTCTGTTCCATGCCTCTCTGCTGAGCAATGTCAACTCTGTTAAATGGTGTCCTGTAAATTTCTTATACATTTAAGTTAATTTTTTAAGGAAAGCAAACTCTGCTGCAGTTACAATGACAGAAATTGTCAAAAATAAAATTAAAAAAACTTTCAAGATTATTTCCTTTGTGTTGTATTTTACAACATAAATAACTACTGGCAAGTTTACAGTGTCATTTTAAACTGGCATTTAGACTTATAGCTATTATCTGTATATTGCTCATTATTCTAATGGGCCTTAAATTAATATCTTTTCTTTCCTTCATACACTGTTCATTCAATTTGATTTAATAGGTTTAAGTAAGGAAATGCAAACAAGTCAACTGTCCTCTGGACATACAATCTTAGGTTTCAGTGAACAGTTATGATATTCATTGGAGGATGAAAAGGAATTATATGAATTATAATTCCTTCACCTAAAAAAATGCCGAAGGTGAGATAGCTATCTATGGATGTCAGCGAATCAACTGCCCCACGCAGATGTGGGAAAACATTGAAAATATTTAAGTAAATTAATAACAATTTTTACTTTTATAGTATTTAATATTATAAATTATAAATATTTTAATATTTTTAATATAGGCCTGGTAATATTTCAGCCAAGAGAGTTTTAAAATGCGATTTTTAAAATTGATTTTTAAATTGATTTTACTTACTACAACAGTATGGTCCTGTATTAAGATGCGCTTTTTCTCACAATGCCCCCGTTCATTTGGCTAATGTAACCTGCTGCTGAGAGAGGCCTTTGTGTGACGCTTGTGGAGGGTCCCCATCCCTCCAGCTTCGCTGGCAAGGATCGAAGGACTCAGTGCCCTCCATGTACTTCAGGAACATGCTGTATTGTAGTTTATCCTAACTGCCGGCAGGAGGAGCTTAACTCCCGGGACCTCAGTCATCTCAACGAGTAAGCTGCAAGACCTTTGGCTTTCCTGGGTCTCAAGGAGCTAGTAGCAGAGGAAGCTCTGTTAATTTAGGATATCACTGTACAGTCTCCCTGACAGTTAACGGGTGGTGCTACAAGTACATCCAGAACTGTGCTAAAAACACATTTTATGTTTCTAGCACTAGAAGTGCGGGTAGTTTTTCTCTGTTAATTTCTTAAATCCTATAAATCTTTCAATTACTGAATACCACTTCCTTAGACAGGCCTCCCCCCCTTTCCTACTGTGTATCTGCTGCGCACTTGTGTTTCTGTCTCACCCCCGGAGCTGCGCTGCCCAGTGTGGTAGCACCAGCCACGTGGTGGTGGAGCCCTCGGGCAGTGTCCGCCTGGCAGCGTGCTGCGTCACACACACACCAGATTCCACAGGCTTGGTGTGGGAAAATTAATGTAAATTAACTTATTCATGATTTTTTTATAATTGGGAGAATTTTATCATATGCCAATTAATACCTCAATATAGCCGTAAAAATAATTTTATAGTCATTACATGTTCAAAGAGTATTCTGAATATATGTTAAATACAATCTATAAATAAAATTAACTTCACCTGTTTCTTTTTACCTTTTTCAGTAGCTACTAGAAAATTTTAATTACACATGTGGCTCATATTATGGTTTTGTGGACAGAGCTGCTCTTGAATGATGCTCCCTAATGGCAAGGTATTCTTGGCTGGTTTGAAATGTGAACCCCCAGAACCTAGAGCAGTGCCTGGCACAGACCTGCATTTGATGTGTACTTGTGGAATAAAAATCAGAGGGTTCATTCATTTTTTCCTCTCACACTACAGGTCATTAAGTATGAAATGTCCGATTTCGCGTCACAAAGTGTAGTTTTTTATATCTCAAACAAAAAGCAGTACAGTTAATCAAAGTGTGTGCCTAAACTGTTGGCACAGTTTTGCCATCTTAATGGCAGCTTGTTTATGCCAGCAACAAAGAGGCCTGGATAGTGAGTGGCGATGAATTGCCAAAGGCGTTTTCCACAGCTTGTGGAGAATTGAATATTTTTCTTGCAAGAATGGTTCAAAGCCTGGAAGCAGTGGTAGTCAGTTGGAGCAAGGTCTGGTGAATACAGTGAATGACAGAGAATTCCAAGTTCAGCTCCTGTAGTTTGAGCAGCGTTGTGGGATATGCGGTCAAGTGTTGTCTTGCAAGAGGATTGGCTCGTCTCTGTTGACCAATCTTGACGCTTATCACAAGCATCCTCATCATCTCATCTGATTGGTCACAGTCGACACCCGCTGTAATACAGTGACCAGGTTTCATGAAGCTGTGGTGGATAATATCAGCACTGGACTACCAAACAGACACCATTAGCATTTTTTGATGAATATTTGGTTTTGGACTGTGTTTCAGCACTTCATCTTTATCCAACCATTGTGCCGAATGCTTGCAGTTGTCAAAAAGAATCCATTTTTCATCACACTTAACAATATGGTGTAGACATGGTTCGCCTTTATGTCGCGACAGCAAAGAAAGGCAAGCTGTGAGATGATTTTTCTTCTGACACTTGTTTAATTCATGCAGAACCCATTTATCTAGCTTCTTTACCTTGCCTATTTGTTTTAAATGGTCCAATATTGTTGGAATAGTAATGTCAAGCCTTGCTGCTAATTCATGTGTAGGTTGAGATGGGTTCGCCTCCACTACAGCTTTCAGCTCATCATTATCCACCTTGGTCTCAGGTCACCCATGTGGCTTATTTTCAAAATTAAAATCACCATAACAGAACTTCTCAAACCATTGATGTGCTGTGCATTCATTAGCCACATCTTTCCCAAACACTTCATTGATATTCCAAGCTGTCTGTACTGCATTGGTTCCAAGATGGAACCCATATTAGAAAATAAAATGAATTTTGACGTATCCATGGTTTCACAAAAATTGGTCCAAAAAAAAAATATGAAAGACAATCACAAGCCAAGACATTCATTTGAAAGACTGAGTATGTACCTTCACAATAAACCTAAAACAAGAAGTGTCAAAGTGAAATGTCAGAGATATCAACTGTCAAACTTAGTACTTAAGGAAATTGGACATTTCATACTTAATAACCTAAATATTTATTGCGTGTGCCTACTGATTTCAGACATTGTTCTAGGTTCTGGGGATGCAGTGGAGAACAAAACAGACCCAAAACTCTCATGAAACCTAAAATTGGGATTCTTTGTAGCAAGACCAGATGTTTGGGTTAGATGCTGAGAATGTTAATTACCAGCCTTCATTTTCCTTGGTGGTAAAGAGTTGGGTGTGAATAGACCAGTGGTCCTCAACCTAGGTTATATATTTACAGTCACCCAGGGAAGTTTTAAAGACTACTGAAATCAGATTTTCTAGGGGCCATGGACTTTTTTTTAAGTTTTTTTTTTTTTTTTCTATCATGTGAGGAGAGGTGTCCATTTAAATACCAACTATGAGAACTTGGGTAGGTCATTAAGTTTGGTTTGCTGGTTGTGAAACTGCAATAATTATCCCTACATCCCTTGATGTGGTGGTATTAAGGGAGGTAAGTGAGTGTGAGCTCTCTGGCTGACAGATAGAGGAAACCCCATCGATATTGGTTGCGTTTGCCTTCCCATGTTCTCTCTCCACTTAAGAGAAGGGGGTTTCCTGTAATAGACAGGCTTATAAATGAGTCTCACACAGTAAAAGAGGGTATCTGGGTGTCATTCATTCTGTCTTATGTTTGTGTCTCATCAGCACAAATGTACATGTTTTGTGTATGTACAATACACAAAAACAAAACAAAACCCTGATCTGAACATTTGGTATCACAAAGGAATGGCAATCACAGTCAAAACTAAGGAGAGAGCAAAAGAGCAGAGATTACTATTGCCAGTTCTGTCCAGGATTTTAGGGTGCTACACTGTTATTTACAGTAATGAATTTACCTTTTAAATGCAAATAGAAGGCTAAGAATAGAAGAACTTGTAATGGTCACAGAACTAAAACATTAAACTACTGAAAGAAAACACTGGGGAAACACTTCAGGACATTGGTCTGGGCAATGAGTTCTTGAGTAATACCTGTAAAACACAGGCAACCAAAACAAAATTGGACAAATGGGATCACATTAAGCTAAAAAGTTCCTGCACAGTAAAGGAAACCAAAAAAGGAAATCAAAAAAGGGAAAAGACAACCCACAGAATAGAAGAAAATACTTGTAAACTGCCCATCTGACAAGGGACTAATAACTATAATATATAATGAGCTCCAACAACTCAGTAAGAAAAAAATCAAATAATCCAATTTAAAAATTGGCAAAGGATCAGAATAGATATTTCTCAAAAGAAGACATATGAATGGCCAACAGGTATACGAAAACATGCTAAACATTGTTAGTCACCAGAGAAATGCAAATCCAAACTATAATAAGATAGCACCTCACCCCAGTTAAATGGCTTTTATCAAGAAGACAGACAATAATGAAGGCTGGTGAGGATGTGGAGAAAGGGGAGCCCTTGTACACTGTTGGTGGGAATGTAAATTAGTGCAACCACTATGGAGAACAGTATGGAGGTTCCTCAAAAAACTGAAAAGAGCAATATCATATGACCCAGCAATCCCACTGCTGGGTATATATGCAAAGGAAGTGAATTCAGTGTAGCAAAAAGATATTTGCACTCCCATGTTTACTGCAGCACTATTCACAATAGCCAAGATTTGGAATCAACCTAAGTGTCCATCAGCAAATGAATGGATAAAGAAATTGTGGTACATATACACAATGGAATACTATATAGCCACAAAAAATGTAATTCTGCCATTTGCAACAATATGGATGGACCTGGAGAACATTATGTTAAGTGAAATAAGCCAAGCACAGAAAGACAAATATTGCATGTTCTCACTTACTTGTGGGAGGGAGCTAAATATTTAAAAAAATGATCTCATTAAGACAGAGAGTAGAATGATGGTTACCAGAGGCTGGGAAGGGTAGCAAGGAGGAGGGAGGGCAGTAAAGTGGGGATGGTTAATGGGTGCTAAAATATAGTTAGATAGATAGAATGAATGGTATTTGATAGCGTGACTATAAAGTGACTATAATCAACAATAAGTTAGGGTATACAAATTAGTTTAGGAAAAAGAAAAAAGAACTAAAACATTTAAAATATAAATACAAGCAGCCAATCCACAATTGGTGGCTCAATGAAAGATAGGCATATCCTGCTGCAGAATATCTATGTTTGGGGTAGATTTGGGGTCCTGCAGAAAAGTTTTACATACTTTTTCCCATTCTCTCCTAGGACCCCACTTTTCCTCCTGAGATCTATAGGGTAAGTATTCCCTTGTTCTGCGTTCCCATTAGAGCTCTGATCTCTAATAAGAGAAGAGAACAAAGATTTGCGATTACCTTCAATTGCTATGGAAAGGATGTGGAATAAGCAGGCATGGGAGTGTCTCTGGGTGCTAGAATTAATCAGAGCAATAGATACTCCTGCTGAAAGCCTTTTCAGGCCATGAAAAATAGAGTATCTGTTCGACATTGGAGGTAGAAATAAAAAGATGCTAGAAATGCAACTCTTGCCCTCCCCATATGTGTTTAGCTTTTTATATTTGCTCCTTTCAACAATGTTGAGGTAGTCAACACCCCTATTTTGTGGAGAAGAAAACTGAGATCCAGAAGGACTAAGCAAGGTACTTAAAGTCATTCTGCTAATGAAAGCTAAAATGAAGATTCAGATTTTATTCTGTAATTTCCAAATGCTTTTTAAAATTTCTTTTTATTATTAAATGTTGAGAATATATAAAAGAATATTTAAGAAACAGATGTAAGATGTAAAAAATAATACTGCGATACAGTGAATGCCATTGTGTGTACCCACACAAGGTACAAGAAGGAAGTTCGTGTGTGTGCTCCTCACCATGTCTCATCCCATTCACTGTCCCCTCTGACACAGCCACTTTTTGACTTTTACAACTATTGCTCCATTCTTATTTATATGTTTCTAAACCATGTATTGATGGTTAATTTTGAATATTTTTGTTTTATATACATGGAATCATACTGTTAAGCGTTCTTCTATCTAGTGCTAAGCTAGCATACGCTGATAAAACGTTTGGCTGGCTTTCACTTGGCTTGATCTCTGCTCTCATTGATCATTGCCTGTGCTCTGAGTATTTAGATATTGTGAATATCACCTCTATTCTTGGAAACCTACTTATTAATTCATTAAACTGCTATGTTCCATTATGTGGGCATACCACACTTTTCATCAGTTTCGTAGTTGATGGACATTTAGTCTTTTCTTGTGTGTTTGTTGTTAAAAATGGTGATGTTATGAACATTCTAGTGCATATGTGTAGGCATTTCTCTAGGGTATGTACCCAGGAGAGGAATTGCTGGGCGACAAGGTATATAAATGCTTGGTTTTATCAGATAATGCCAAACTGTTTTCCAAAACATGTTTCCCAAAATATTGGTACTTTGTACAATATTCAGTTTGTACAAGTTTCAGTCAGTCCACATCCTTTTTATGACTTGATATTGTGTGACTTTTTATTTTGCCAATTTAGTAGGTGGATAACAATATTTTATTATATTCTATTAATAATTTGTATTTTGATGATTATTACTAGTGAGATTGAACATTTTTTAATTTATTTATTGGCCATTTGTGTTTCCTCTTCTTTGAAATACCTGGTCATGCCTTTATTGTTTAAATATTTTTCTATTGTGGTATTTGTCTTTTTCTTATTGATTTGTAGAACATTTTATATATTCTGTCTACTAATCCTTTTCCAGTTGTATGTGCTGCAAATACCTTCTCCTAGTTGTTAGCTTGTCTGTTTTTTATATACTTAATTTTTTTTTTTTTTGAGACAGTCTCACTTTGTTGCCCAGACTAGAGTGAGTGCCCTGGCGTCAGTCTAGCTCACAGCAACCTCAAACTCCTGAGCTCAAGGGATCCTTCTGCCTCAGGCTCCCAAGTAGCTGGGACTATAGGCATACTCCATCATGCCCAGCTTACTTTTTCTATATATATTAGTTGGCCAATTAATTTCTTTCTATTTATAGTAGAGACAGGGTCTCGCTCTTGCTCAGGCTGGTTTCGAACTCCTGAGCTCAAGCAATCTGCCCGCCTCAGCCTCCTAGAGTGCTAGGATTACAGGCGTGAGCCACCACGCCCAGCTTATATACTTAATTTTTTAGAGCAATTTTTTAGGCTTACTGAAAAATTGAGTGGAAGAGTACAGAATTCCCATAGACCCCATCACCCTCCACAATTTTCCCTATTATTAACATCTTTGCATATATGTAGTTGTGGCAACTGATGAACCAATATTGATACATTATTATTAACTGAAGTTCATAGTTTACATTAGGGTACTCCTTATGTTGTATATTCTATGGATTTTGACAAATGCATAATATCATGTATACACCATTACAGTATGATGTAGGATTAGTTTCCCTGACCTAAAACTGCCCTGTTGTCCACCTTTTTATCCCTCTCTCCTCTCCCACTGAACCCTTGACAACTACACTTTTTATTGTCTCTATAATTTTGCCTTTTTAAAATATCATATAGTTGGAATCATACAGTATATAGCCTTTTAATACTTGTTCTTTTGTTTGGCAATAAGGTTCCTCCATGTCTTTTCATGGTTTGATAGGTCATTTCTTTTTATCTGTGAATAATACGTATTTTATGGCTGTACCAGTTTATCTATCTACCTTAGATAGACATTTTGGCTGTTCCAATCACGTTATCACAAGCATCCTATCATCTCATCTGCATGATTGGTCACAGCTCGACAACCCGCTGTAATAGCAGTGACCGAGGTTCATGAAGCTGTGGTGCGATAATACCAGCACGGACTACCAAAACAGACACATTAGTACTCTTTTTGATGAAATTATTTGGTTTGGATGTGTTCGCCACTTGCATCTTATCGCAACATTGTTGCCCCGAATGCTTGCAGTTGTGCAAAAAGGAATCCACTTTTCATCACCACTTGAACAATATGGTGTAGACCATGGTTCGCCGTTTATGTCGTGACAGCAAAGAAAGGCAAGCTGTGAGATGATTTTTCTTCTGGGCACTTGTTTAATTCATGCAGAACCCATTTATCATAGCTTCTTATCCTTGCCTATATTGTTTTAAAATGGTCCAATATTGTTGGAAATAGTAAGTCAGAGCCTTGATGCATAATTCAGTGTGTAAAGGTTGAGATAGGGTTCGCCCTCCAGCTACAGCTTTCAGCTGCATCATTATCCACCTTGGTCCTCAGGTCACCGCCATGTGGCTTATTTTCAAAATTAAAATCACCCTAAACAGCGGGCGCGGGGCTCACGGCCCTGTGAATCCTAGCCTCTTGGGAGGCCGAGGCGGGCGGATGCCTCAAGGTCAGGAGTTCACCAACCAGCCTGAGCAGAGCGAGCCCCGTCTCTACTATAAATACGAAAGAAATTAAATTGGCACGATATATATATAAAAAATTAGCGCCGGGCATGTGGCGCCGATGCCCTGTAGTCCCAGCTACTCCGGAGGTCTGAGCAGAAGGATCATCGAGCCCAGAGTTTGAGGTTGGCCTTGAGCTAGGTGACCCACGGCACTCACCTCTAGCCTGGAGCAACAAAGTGAGACTCTGTCACAAAAAAAAAAAAAAAATCCCCATAAACAGAGACTTCTCAAACCCATTGATGTGCTGTGTGTTCATTAGCCACTTTTCCCCAAACACCTTCATTGATATTCCAAGCCTGTTACTACTGCATTGGTTGCCAAGATGGAACCTATTAGAAAATAGAATGGAAATTGACGTATCCATGGTTTCAGCAAAAATTGGTCCAAAAAAAAATAATGAAAGACAATCACAAGCGCAGACATGCATTCTGAAAAGCCCCGGTAATGGTACTTCACAATAAACCAAACAAGAAAGTGTCAAAGTGAAATGCAGAGATGTCAACTGTCCAAACTAGTACTTAAGAAATTGGACCATGGTTCATACTTAAAACCTACAATATTTATTGCGTGTGCCTACTAGATTTCAGAACCATTGTTCTAGTTCTGGGGATGCCAGTGAAGACAACAAAACGACCCAAAACTCTCCATGAAACCTAAAATTGGGATTCTTGTAAGCCAAGACCAGATGTTTGGGTTGATGCTGAGAATGTTAATTCACCAGGCCCTCCATTTTCCCTTGGTGGTAAAGAGTTGGTGTGCAATAACCAGTGGTCCCTCACTAGGTATATATTACAGTCACCCCAGGGAATTTTAAGAGACTACTGAAATCAGATTTTGCTAAGAGGCCATGGATTGGTTTTTTAAGTTTTTTTTTTTTTTTTTTCTATCATCGTGAGGAGAGGTGTCATTTAAATTACCACTATGAGAACTTGGGTAGGTCATTAGTTTGTTTGGCTGGTTGTGAAAACTGCCAATATATTATCCCTACATCCCTTGATGTCGGTGGCTCCTTAAGTGAGGCCTAAGTGAGTGAGCTCTCTGGCTTGACAGGATACGAGGAAAGCCCCATCGATATGGGTTGCGTTTGCCCCTTCCCATGTTCTCCTCTCCCCACTTAAGAGAGGGGTTTCCTGTGATAGACAGGCTTATAATGAGTGCTCACACAAGTAAAAGACGGGTATCTGGGTTCATTCCATTCGCTGTCTTATGTTTGTGTCTTCATCCAGCACTCCATTACGCAATACCAAAAAACAACAATAAACGGCCCTTCGACCATTTGGTATCACAAAGAATGGCAATCACAGTCAAAACTAAGGGAGAAAGCAAAAAGAGCAGAGATTTCTATTGCCAGTTCTGTCCAGGATTTAGGGTGCTACACTGTTATTTACAGTAATGAATTTACCTTTAAATGCAAATAGAAGGCTAAGAATAGAAAACTTGTAATGATCACAGAACTAAAACGATTAAACTACTGAAAGAAAACACTGGGAAACACTTCAGGACATTCGTCTGGGCAATGAGTTCTTGAGTAATACCTGTAAAGACACAGGTGACCAAAGGCAAAATTGGCCAAATGGGATCAACATGTAAGCTACAAAAGTTCCTGCACAGTAAAGGAAACCAAAAATGGAAATCAAAAAAGGGAAAAGACACCCACAGAATAGAGAAAATACTTGTAAACTGCCCATCTGACAAGGGACTAATAACTATAATATATAATGAGCTCGCACAACTCAGTAAGAAAAATCATAATAAATCCAATTTAAATTGGCAAAGGATCAGAATAGAATTTTCTCAAAGAAGACATATGAATAGCCAACAGGTATACGAAAACATGCTAAACAATTGTTAGTCACCAGAGAAATGCA